TATGGTTCGAAAATAATAATATGAAATAAAAAAGTGCATAATCTACCCCCCCCCCCCCCCCTCAGAGCAATTTTTTTAGATTATTCGTTCAAAAGACTCAAAAGTGACTTTATATCAAATAAATACCATGAATATTTATATTTTTCTGGTTTTGATGTTTGTGGAAGGATATTATTACTTTTATATATATAAAAATTATTCTGTATATTATTTTAAAGTCATTGATAATAATCTAATAAATTATAATAATATATTATTTATGCATATTTAAAAAAATATTTATTATAATTTATCGAAGATATGGTTCGAAAATAATAATATGAAATAAAATAGTGCATAATCTACTTTCTCATGCTTTTGAGGTTAAAAAATATTTAATCCAGTGTACTAATTAATATCTTATGCATTATAGGCTCTATTGAAAATAATAAGGATGATGTAAATACAACAGGTCAAAATAACATTTAATAAAAAAAATATTAAAAATTAATAGCTAACTATTTTTATTTTAGAATTTAAAATTAAACACCTAGTCATAGTTTTAACTAAATTAAAATTGCCAGTACAAACCACTTTGGGTAATTTATTATTTTAAATAATTTTGGCTAACCAAAATATTTTGACATTTATAAGATATACCCAAACGTAGGAGGGAATAAAATGATCTTGATACACTCATTTATATACCCAAAGACCATATAAAATCACTACCTAGTACAAGTAATATAATCTATTAAGATTTAAATATTTTTTATTATAGATTTAGATATATCAAGTATTACATTTAATAAAAATGATGATAGTCAACAAAATGAACACACCAAATCACTAATTAATATAGAAAATCAAAATTTTAATGATGAACTTGATATCATAAGCAACAATTTACCACCCACATCAGGTATTTTATAATGACCTTATTTAAATGAATCACTAATTAATATAGAAAATCAAAATTATAATGATGAACTTGATACCATAAGCAACAATTTACCACCCACATCAGGTATTTTATAATGACCTTATTTAAATGAATCACCAATTAATATAGAAAATCAGAATTTTAATGATGAACTTGATACCATAAGCAACAATTTACCACTCACCTCAGGTATTTTATGAACTTATATGACCTTATTTAAATGTATTCATTTAAATTTTAGAAATACCTAGATACTCTATAAAAAATTATGATAAAAATAAGCTAAATACACTTGATCACTTCAAATCTCTACCTAGTAAAAGTAATGTTAACTATTACCTTTAAATATTTATATCATAATTTTAGGTATATCAAGTATCACATTGAAGAAGAATGATAGTAGTCAACAAAATATTATAGGCTGTATCAATTTAGAATTTAAAGGTTATCTAATATGTTGTTTTATTTTAATTTATTTTTATAGGAATATCTCAATTAATATTCACACCAAGGGGTAAAAAAAATAGTGATAACAAACAAAAAAATACACTAAGTCACAACAAATCACTATCTAATAAATGTAATGTAATCAATTACTTATTAATATTTACATTAAAATTTTAGATATATAAAAAATCTAGGGAGAATTTAAATGGAAATGAAGTTCCACTCATGTCTGGTATTAGTCTTATTTAAATTATATTTATTTAAAATCTTAGCAATTCCCTCATACTCTAGAAAACTAAAGGATAATAGACAACCAATTATACTAGATCATTTAGAACCATCACCTACTACAAGTGATATAGTCTATTACTTTATACTTATAATAATCAAAAGTTGGTTCCAAAGCTAACATGTCATCTATGATTATTAGCCTAGGTTTCTCAATATTAATTTTAAACATCTATCATATATTGGTAAAAAAATATTGCCAACACAATTTTGATTTTTTCACATGAAGGATATCGACTTAAATTTACAGTTTAAAAAAAACATTTATTTTTTAATCTATAGTTTTAATGTGTTTACTAATTATAAAATATATCATTTATAATTAAGGCAATATAATATTTATAATTAAAGCAATATAATATTTATAATTAAAGCTATATAATATTTATAATTAAAGCAATATAATATTTATAATTAAATCAATATAATATTTATATTTTAAATAATCGCTTTTTATTTGTAAATAACTTCTAAAAGTATAATAAAATGAAACGTGTATCAATAAAATTGTGTCAATGTGTTATTTTAATTAAAATTAGTGGCTCAATTTTAGCCGATATGGCTAACTCAATATATTAGGCAGAAAATTTTGCTCATGGAGATACAAGTTTTATATTATTCGAGAAATCTCTAGGCTTGAACAATATTTTTTGGCAAAAATATTGAGTTAGCTGTTTATAAAAATCAGCTCAAGTCGAGCCGTTTAACAACACTAATTAAAATAATTAATAATTCTAGGACTCTTTTATATTATAAGAAAAACCAATATGATTTTTAAGATAAACCCGGCCGAAGGCCGGGCAAAAGGGCCGAAGGCCCGTAAAAGGGGGTCTGGGGGGCGAAGCCCCCAGGCTTTTATATATGGACCCCCTCTAAGGAAAATTCCTAGCTACGCCACTGCCTATAACGTACTTAGCCCTTTTAAAATATGGGGAAACCAATTCCCAAGCTACCGGTATCACACTAAACATAAATATAAAACTGATTTTTACTTTTAAACAACAAGCCAATAAATTTAAAATCATTACTTTTGACAATTTAATCATATTAGGGTTCTCGTTAACTAATTCCATCATGCCTCCGTCATAACATTTTCTAAAGTTTTTACAACATAGAGCACATTCTATGCCATTTACAGCACATCAAAGCTTATTTTTAGTACGTAAATGCCTATACATACTGTAATGATTAGCTACCGAACACATGGATTACAGACAAGAATCATTAATTCACATCATATGGGTTTGTTTTGGAGATAGAGGAAAGTTCGAGAATGATTGCTGGGGATTATGGGATGGGATGAGGATGGTTATAATGGATTTTTATTTGTATTATTACAATGTTATTAATGGATTAGTTATGATAAATAGTATAAATGGTTCCTTTAATTGCAATAAAGAATTGCATGAAGCCCAAGTTATATATATATATAATATAAGTGAGAATAGACTGGGATATAAATATATTTTATTAGATAGATCATTTAATTCAAATATAATAACAATATCGAGCGTCACATTTTTGCTCCCAAGTTTCTTTTTCAATCCTTTATATATCATATCTCTTTAATATGTTAATATAAAATAATAAAACAATCATTTTACAATGTTAAGAATTTTAAGTTAGTCGCTCGAAGTGTTGACAAGGAAACTATTAAGTTAAGGGATAATATAATACAAATTAGTCCATAATTTATTTTATAGAACCTAACATATCAACAATATATATGCTACACACATACTAAAATTTTTGCATATTATCCGTTCGTCATCCTATTTTAAAAACAACGAATTTATATTAAAAATTAAGAATTCAACATTAAATTAAACATACTTCATTGGTCACTTGTCCAGTTACCTTCTAAATTGAGTTTTATACATTTACTCAATCTATTATCTTTATCGTCATATTTATCATCCAGTTTAAGAAACAATTCAGATCTCAGGCTTCTTATTCTCCACCGATCGTTTATTATTTGACGCAACTAACAAATGGGAGGCTAATATACTTTTTGACACTCATTTACCCTCAATCATCACTCGAAATACCACGATATATTAGTCACTTCACCTTTAGATTGCATTCAACTCCTTCAATCTGCTATTATATTTGGTGGTCATGCATGGTTAGAATCACTCCCCCTTCATAACCTTGGTTGTCTATCAGACGATCAATTGAGAGTAGCGATTGATTTAAGTTTTGGTTGTGACATCGTACATCCAATGTTGTCACAAATGCAAATCATTAGTATATTCATAGACATAGACATGTATATAGGGCTACACCAGTGCCACACAACAATAAATCGAGGTATAGCAGCGATCCACATTCCGAACCATCTTGAGTCCACAAATTTATCTCATGTAGATGGTTTAATGTGTGATGGTATGACAACTATACCTTGAGCCCTCGGAAAATTATTAATTGTGACTACACATGTGTTTCCACTTAAACATGAATATCAATCCGTTAATACATTCAGAAACAAAAAGGATCAATAAATACAAAGATCTTTCTTATTTATTCCAATAGTGACTTCCACAAACGGCCATTTTTCCCCATTAGCCTACAAGTTTTTAAAAAATCTTGGCACCAAATTCGGCATTTACAAACGAAGCCAACAAATTTATATATATTTATTACGTCAAAAAATTTAAATAGAATTTTTAGTGCCTTTTTGGGAACTCAATTCTGAAATTGAATTTTTATTTTAATGGTGTTTTATTTTTATAATGTTTTAATATCATAGTTTTTTAATATTACGATAGAAATTTTTAATAAATAATTATTATATAAGAAAAAAAAAAAATGATTTAGGATATAATTAATTATATTTTAAAATAACATTTAATAAAAATTAAAATAACACTAACAGAACAATTAAGTAAACAATTTAAAAAAAACTAAAAATAGTTTTAAAAAAAACATTGAGAGGGGCAAAAACAGGATTATTATTGAGATCCTAGGAAAGATAGTTGTCTCGAAATATAGATATTTGAGTTGATTGTAACATTTTAATAGAGGATCCATAATCAGTTATCGCATAATATACAATAAGTTTAAAAAAAGTTTCGATATTGAATATGGAATTTAATTTGTTAAATTTTTTTTTTCCGGTCATGGGTTACTTTATTTGAATATTTACTGATATGAGTAAAAAAAAATTAATGGCCAAATTTACAAAAAATAAATAAGATGGTCTATAATAAATATAACAGTCTGATTAATAAACCACTGAATAGGTTTTTATAGTAGAATTTTGGATTGTAAAATTATATCCTAATTATTAATTAACTAAAGTTGAAGAAAATATTGGCTAAGGCTATATACCTTGTGCAATCATTGTTAAATTAAATCATGCGTATTGAAAATGAGGACCAATTTAAGTTTAAATTTTTTTATATATTTGTATATATCCTATTCCTATATATTCAATATTAGTATCGTTTATATATAATTTGTTTTTCAACCTACTTTTATATTATAAATGAAGATTTAATCAATATAAATTTTTATTGCACAATATTATATAACTTTAACTTATACTATCTTGAATTCTGATCGTTTTAATAATTTTTTTATTGGCTACTAACCGATATTATTTTCTCTGTAAAATATCTGATTAGATTATAATTCCCCATTATTAATTATGACTTTTAAATAACCATAAAATTTCATGCATGGTATTAAATTTTTATAAAATATTTTTTTAAATGTTTACGCAGTTAGAATGGGAAATTCTTAAATAAACAGGCTTTAACCCATAAAATGGTTTGTCCATTTTTCCAGTGATGTAAACAAGGTTTTGGGAAGAAAAATAACTCCAGAAGTTTAAATGTTTAAAAATAATTTTTATTGGTTGGTTTTGTTCTTAATCTTAAATAACATTTTTTTACTCATACACTTAAACTATGCATTAACATTTGCTTTTGAAAATATTTTTTCATTGCCCATCAGATTGTCCTAAACCAGTTTATGATAAAAAACCATTTTCCTGGAAAAATATTTACATAGATTGCCCAGCCTTGTCCAGGGGAGGGGGGAATTTATATTTATTATGTGTTATGATTAACTACATTATAATTATGGTAAAAAAATCCAAAGCAATTATTATTTTAAAATTACCTCTTTTTAATATTAAGTATTGGTTTATTAGACTCAGACTGCAAGCCAATTTGGTCTTTAATCCAACTGGTCTGGACCAATAAAAAAATATTTATTTTATATCATTCCTTATTATAGTAGTATATACCTAATTTTAATAATTAATATCTATCCATGCATTTTATTTTTTTTGCCATTGATCTTTTAAATTTTAAGATACTTAGCTCCCTCAAGAATATCACATTTAAATAATTCTGATCTTAAACAAAAGAAGGTAAATTCTGATCAAAATGGATAAAATTTGTTAAATTATGTAGCATATATATATTAATGTTAAGGAACCTTATTAGATTTTAGGTTAAAAAATATTAGAAATTGATTAAACTTGAATATAGTCAAAAGCTTAACTAATAGTTGTAGTATAATGTAGTGTTGTTAAATGGCTCATTTTGAGCCAATTTTTTAAAATGGCAAACTCAATATTTTAGCCAGAAAGATATTGCCTAGGCCTTGAGATTTTGATAATATATCTCTACACCTTTGTTCTTTCTATGAGCAAAATCTTCAGGCTTGCATAATATTTTTCTAGGTGAAGTATTGAGTTAGCTGTTTAATAACAATAGTATGATGTATATTCATTTAGTTCAGTTGGGTAGTGAAAATCAAATATAGTATATTAGAATTATAAAAAATAATTTGTTTATTATTAATTGATTAGAGCTATAGCAGCAGTTTTTTTTATAGGAGATCATTTCTCAGAATAGTCAAGGAGTTATGGCAGTAAGAGATATCTTAGAAGAGCCAATGGTTTGTAACAGTAGGAGATAATTTCTCAGAAGGAGCCAAGAAGTTAGGGCAGATGTTATTTATAACCATTGCACACTTACCTTAAGCAGACAAGAATGTTTTTGTTATTTAATCATTCACCTATTCCATGGGAAGAGTTACTTTTAAAGATTGGCTAGATTGTTACTAAAAATAAACAGATTATCGTTCAATATGATTTAAGCTATTATATATATAGGAAACTGGATCTTGGAATATAAACGAGAGAAAGAAAGGTTGATTAAGGAGTAACTAAAAACTTCTTAAGTTCGAATCTAGGTGGGATCGGTTTTTCAGCTAATCTAGGCTAGGCATTTTTGGGCTACTGGGTAATAAAGCCAGGGCATGAAAGAAAGTCATGCACTAATAGGCTGTGACGTTATTAAGTGTTATATTTTTATTTAAAGTGCTTCGAGCTGATATTTAAAAAAAAACAATACAATCCAATACCATCATTGTTTTGAGTTATTTTATGATTGTATTATATAATTGATAATAATACCTTACATCCTGTGCACAATTTCATAATAAATGGATAAAAGGAACCGAAATTTAATTTATTTGTAATGCCAGAAAAACTATGCATATTTTAAGTGAGATGATTAACTTTTGGGACAAAATACACTTAATCATTCTTGATAATGCATTAAATGAAAAATTGTCTCAAATTCATAGGGTAAGTATTTTAAACAAGATGGAATACATTACCGGTAAAATCAGATTTTTAAATATAAAAAAACGCTTGCAAAAAATAATTTAAAGTTGAAAAAATAACTCAATGCCGGAAAAACGGATTGACGCTAACATATATAAGAATGCTGCCTTTCTCACCCGAACAATTTTATTTTATAAGATTTACCCAATGACATATAATAATACCTAGACTGACGATGCATTCATTAAAAGTGTACATCAATGAAAAACAGCTGGGGACACCATTTTGGTTACCCATATCATTATTATAAATTTTAAACGAGAGTCCAATTTATTCTTATGCTTGACGAAAACTTTATTAAAGAATTGCCTGATCATCGAGATAATAAGGAAGCAAGTTATCAATTTAATAGTAGTTTTTAACATGAGAATAAATACTATATGGGTTACCAAAATGGCGGGACCAGCTGATTTACATTCAACGACGCTTTCAAATGCATTATTATATGAATCGTCTGTCTAGGTATTATTATATATCATTGTTCACCTCTTAATTTCTTTATAGAATATCTTCCCATTCTTTTTTTTTCTATTCATTAGAGAGATCATTTATTTTTTTAAAAAATTTACCGTTACTATATATCAAAATGGCGATTTAAAAAAAATTGAATACTTCATGGTTTTAGTTACAATTATGATATATTTTAATTAAAATAAATAATATTAAGTTAACATAGTATTGTTATTTGTCACAAATTTATTTTTTATTGTTAAACCTGGTATAATAAATTTTTTATGCAATTGGAACAAAGCCCATTTTTCTTTGATTATTTATTTTTTCGACGATTTTTTCCTTTATTTTTATCTGTTTATATTTTTAAAAATAATTAAAAATTTAATTTAAATATTAAATATATTTTTTTTTGTAAACTCTTCCATAACCGGTTATTTTAACTTAAACAAATAATTAGAAATATTTGACATTTTTGTTAGCCCAGTCCAGTTTATCTCTGTATCGCTATACTTTCTCTAGGTGGAAAGTCCCAAATAACTTAAAGTTTAAACATTACTAATATACCATATGTCTAGATATTTTCCATGAGGTTTAAAATTATAATTTTGTTTACATTCTTAATCGTGGTTGGTGTATTTAATATATCGCCATATAACCATCTTAAAATCTAAAAGAGCTAAATTAGTTGATAGAAGAATATTTTGAATAACAAATTTGACTATGAAAAACCGCCTATTTTTTTTTAACAATTAACTTATATATATAAAACAATTTTTTTCAAGATTTTTAATATTTTTTTTATTTGTATTAATACGATTAAAAACTCTAATTTCATAATATTTGTAAAGTCTTAAGTGACCCTAAAAACAATAATCTTATATGGTTAATACATAAAGAATACCCCAAAAATGGAGCCGTGCTATAATAGGCTAAAAAAAAAATTGTATAACAAAATACTGTGTCGAGTGCTTTTAACCTTGACCCGTTGTCAGTATTCATGTAAGGGATTATGAATGACAATGACATATATAATACCTAGACTGACGATTCATTCATTAAAAGTGTACATCAATGCAAATCAGCTGGAGACGCCATCTTGGTTACACTTATCATTATTAAAATTTTAAACGAGAGCTTAATTTATAAGAATATTTACTGTATGTGTTACCAAAATTGCGGGTCCAGCTGATTTGCTAACGACGCTTAAAAATGCATTTTAATGAATGAATCGTCAGTCAATGTATTATATATGTCATTGGATTACGAGGCGTTTTTTTTATTAAAATAATGTTGGCTGATATGCGGATATGGCCATCTAATAATATACCCTAGATATTTATATATGGAATAATATTTGGTTGCATTTTTTTTTATATTACATACTTTAGTTATTGCTTTTATATATCAGGTATTATCTTTTATAATTACAAAAATTTTGAAAAAAAAATTGAAATTTCATAAAATATCACCAATGATTTTTCTCACATTTTACCCCCCTCCCTCCCTTCCTCTAAGGCTTAATTATAATTATATAAAGATAAAATTTTATATAACAAAAAATATATTAAAATTGTTTTATTAGGCGAGATAAATTTACTTATCCAGGGCTGTTATGTTTAATCTTATTTTTTTTAAAATTTGTTATAAATTTACGCTCACTAAGCCTAACAACATTTACCTTATTTTTTTTTTATAAAAAGTGATTTTGAATAATTTAATTTTGCTTCGGAAAGTTATTTATTTGTGTGGTTTTGAAATAATCAATAAATCACATGATCATGGCAACACCAATAGATGAATCTATTAATTCAAAATTTAATGGTTATTTTATTTTATAATAACATTGTTATACTAAAAAAAATGAACGATAAAATGTTATCACATATAAATCGTTGAACTTTGGCTGTTATCTAATTTTATATATTTTGATATGCTTCTTGGAACATTTAATTAATATATATATATATATATATATATGGAAAATGAGATGTTTTACTAAATTTTCTCCTGGGATTTTCTGGAATACAAATTTTCTGACCCGTTAAATAAGTGAAAAGTTAGGCTATATACATATTTCAAATTTTTTTTCATTGCTAATTATTATAGGTTGGGTAGTAGTAGTAGATAGGACATAACATATAAAGTTAAATTATATCATTCTCTAAAATTAAAATGCGTTAAAATATATAAGATATCAATTTTATAGTTTTCGTTTACCACTACCTACTGAAATTTGTTTATTCAGGCTTACTTATTTTTTCTTAAGAATTGCCAAATATAATTTTAAAAAATTTATTTATTTTTTAAAAAAAATTATATACAATTAAGGTTGTCATTTTAGCCAATAGAATCGATCTTAATAAAGATATCGTTTTCTTTTAAAATTTTGCGCGAATATTATTCTTCAAAACGAGTCAGAAATTATTTGTTCCATGAATGAAAATCCTCGGAGATTTCGTTTCCTCGTTCCTCCTAAATTTTTGTTTGGCACGCGAATCAGATTACCATGATTCGGCAGCCTTCCAGAGGTATGGATATACCCTACGTTGATAAAGATGTATCGCCCATCGCTACCCCCGACAGAAGGTTCCAAGAAAATGTCCACTTCGAAAACGGAAACGGTGGCAATACATTCATAGTCCGAGATCGCATTCTGTTTTCTCCTTCGGATTCTAATAATTCTGTTTCTGGTTCCAAGAGGAGTTATCAAAACTATTTATCCGAAATCAATAACAATGATAAAGTTAGTCAAAAATTGAATTTTCATCGCAAGGAGGATGACGACCTCCAGTTGGCCATCAACGCACTCGAAAATGAAATTAGTAAAATTTCCGTAAACAGATCGCCGCCACTCTCTCTCCATCCGACAGGGTCACCTCAAAGTCCTTCAAATAACTTCAAGGGCCAATTCACTGGCGAGGAAGCATATTGTCGTCACACCGCATCCATATTAAAATCTCGCTCCCCTATCCTTTCATCTTCTAGTTGTGAATCGCCGATTCGTTCCGAAGTTACGAAACAACGAGACAATTACGAAGTGATAACCTATTTCAACGATATTTATGCCCCATCACAAAGCGGCGAGAGCGCTAATTCTTCCCCCGAAAAGTTGAATACTAATACCTATTTATCCCCGGCTTCAGTCGGACACGCCACCAAAAACAAACTTCACACCGTTTTTTCTTTCAGTGAAAATTCGGATTTTTCACCTTCGCAATGTTCCAGATTGCGTTCGGTCGAGTATGAGGACCAATATCCGAACGAACAGCATTACCGCCTACAAAACGGAACATTTTTGAACCTCCCCGTCGATCCGTTCATCAAATCATCCGAGGACTCCAAGAGCAATATATCCGAAATGTCTTCGGTGTGCGAATTTGATAGCGAGGGAGAAGAAATTGATTTTACCACCGAGGGTGGCGAAAGATTTAACGATCAGTGTCATCAATATCATAATAATTTTCTAGACCACGGAATTTCTGAAACAAACCAGATTGGGCAGAACGGCCTTTTGAACGAAGGTAATAAGAGCACTGGAAAACTAAATGAAAATATGCCTATGGGAGTTGCTAGAATTTTGCAACCTATTACGGATAAAACTCCTTTTAAAAAGCAACCCGGTGTAATCGAAGTTGCCAAAACTATAGAAACAAAAGAATCTACAGTGATATCCCCCCAAAAGATAGATAAATACGGTTTTTTCGGTGGTCAGCAATACATCCCTCCCCCCATTGATGACGACGACGACATCGAAGAAACCCTAAAGTCCGAAACTTTATCCCACGCTAATAAGACATCAGGATTATCGTCAAAACAAAAAATTAACAAACATATTCTCAACAAGGATACTTCCTCTATCGTTAAACTGCGGAATCGCGAAAAAAAGTGGAAAGGGATGCTTGACCACTGGGACAAGTACAGCCGGCAAAAGCCCGATAAGATCAAGGACCGTTGTCGGAAGGGCATACCCCCTGCCTTTCGTGGGCTGGCTTGGCAATACCTATGCGGCGTACCTGCCGCCAGGGGCAAGAACACAGCACTTTACGGTCTTTTGGCCTCAGAACAGCAGAAGGGAGACCCTCTGACAGTTGACGAAATCAAACGGGACCTGCACCGACAGTTTCCTTACCATGAGATGTTCTCGAGTCCCGATGGGGCCGGTCAAAGAGATTTATTCAACGTACTTAAGGTTTATAGCTTGATGAGACCAAAGGATGGGTACTGTCAGGCTCAGGCCCCCATCGCCGCTGTTCTCCTTATGCAGATGCCAGCCGAACCCGCTTTCTGGTGTCTCTTATCAATTTGTGACGAGTACCTACCTGGTTATTTCGGCCCCGGACTCGAGTCTCTCCAATTGGATGGCCAAGTATTTTATGCTCTTCTCAAACGATTCCATCCTTCTCTTTACCGACTCGTGAAAAAGCAGGGCATACAACCATCCCTGTGCGTTACCGAGTGGTTTATGTGTCTTTACAGCCGTACTCTGCCGTGGCCTTGCGTTTTGAGGGTCTGGGATATTTTTCTCTGCGAAGGGGTCGGGGTCCTCTTCAAAGTGGGACTCATCTTGTTCAAATTAGCTTTCTCGATTCCGCCTCAAGTAGCGATAGAAGTCGGCGGAGGTAATGAAGCCAAGAACAAATCCAAATATTTGTCTAAAAACGTTAAAGAAGGTAACTCAGAAGCTCCCCAAACTTCGCGAAGCCAACCCAAGAGCATGTTCGGCAGTTTGCCCTTGTTGCATTCTTTCGGTGCCTCTTCGCTTTCTTCTAGATTCCCCAGCATGTACGAAACCATGGGAGCTCTCCAGGCCCTCAAAAGCAAGAATATCGGGGACGATTTCCTTATAGACGAAATAGTTAAACTTAAAATCCCTAAGGAATTATTTGAGAAGGAAAGGCTCTACTTAAAGAAGCGGCGATGATTTATAAATAAGCCATATAACAAAATAAAATCAAAAAAGAATACCGCAATTATCATAATTTTTTATATTACATTAACTTAACATTTTCTTTTAATACGAATTTTATTCTATCTTCATGCATATTTTAATAGACTAACATATTCATATCATTAAAATACATTGAAAGGAATTTGAAATGTCTTTAAATGGCGCCTACTACAGCTGACTTCGATGTATTTACACGATATGAATTTTCAGTCTAGGTTAGTATTTAATGCCTTTAAGTCTTAAAAAATATAATTTTGCTCATATATTTATTTTCCTTCGTTATTGCCGACATCTAGATTTTATTTAAACTTGATAATATTTTCATGATTCATTGTAGATCATTAAAAAAATATATTGCCCAATGTTTTTTAGAAATTTAATTATTTTATATTTTAAAAAGAATAAATAATTTTTATTTATAATATCTGAACTTCCATAAATCATCGTCAATGTATATTTATCGATTTTTTTTAAAAAAATAAAATATATTACTCAAGAGATTCGATTATAATGTTAACTCGTATACTCATAATAGCAAAACAATTGGATTATAATCAAATAATGATTGAAAATAGTAGATAATCTTTCATTTTTCTGAATTTTTATTATCTTTAAAAAAAATCATATAGTACTAATTAAACATATAATTGTCTCTAAATAAGAATATAAGTGTGTATTTATTTTTATTAACTCTATTTCGCGACTTATAAAAAAATTAATGCTTGAATGTTGTGTTGTGTCTGATTTTTTTTTTTAGTTTGAAAGCCTATTTTGAGGGGTTGAATTAAAATATGGTATGAAATTAGCGCCTTATAAATAAAAATATTAGAGTTGTTAAAGTATCTGTATCTAGATACTATTTTTGAGCTATATATCGGTATCTATTTTTTTAACACATTTCGATATAATTTTATTTTACGTTTTTGTTTATTAAAAATAATTATATTTTGAATTAAATTTATTTAATAACAAGTCCGAGTTTATTTGTTTGATTACAAAAACAAACCAGACAAGTTTTATTTTATGCAATAGTTGACGAAAACAAAAAAAAATTTCTTTTCTTTTATTTATATTAATTTTAAAAAAATATATACGTCATAATTTTTAGATCAATATTTCCAGACGATTTCTGAAAAAACTAATAAATAATTTAATATTAGGATTTTTGGGGACACCCCACCCCCATAAGTTGACACTCATCAAATTTTTTTAAAAAATAAGTGCCGGGATTTTAATATGTTTAATTAAAGTGCCCCAGTAGAAAGAGTTTAGTGTGAATAAAAATGTATTTACAGATAAGGAGAATGTTTTATTATTAAAATTTAACGATTATTTATAATCATTTAATTATATATTTTGTATATAAATTATTAAAATCTAACAATCATTACTTTAGTTATTATAAGGAGAATGTTTTATTATTAAAATTTAACGATTATTTATAATCATCTAATTATATATTTTGTGTATTATTTATTAAAATCTGATAATTATTTATAGTCATTTAATTATATATTTTGTATATAAATTATTAAAATCTAACAATCAATACTTTAGTTATTATATTTGTATATAGATGTGCTATCGGCTCAATAAATTTTTGGCTCACTTTAAAATTTGAATTTTAACAATGAAATCCGAAATTGATCATTATGCTGATGACATAATAATAATACCATTCATTAAAAGTGTACATCAATGAAAACAGTTGGGGGCGCCATTTTTATTACCCATATCATTATTAAAAAATTTTAATGAGAGGCCAATTTATTCCTATGCCTGACGCAAACTTTATTAAAGAATTGCCTGATCATCGAGATAATAAGGAAGCAAGTTATAAATATGATAGTAGTTTTTAACATAAGAATAATTACTATATGTGTTACCAAAATGGGGGGTCCAGCTGATTAGCATTAAACGACGCTTTCAAATACATTATTATTAATGCATCGTCAGTCTAGGCATTATATGTTATTGCATTATGCACACCTTGCCTTGCATAAGTATAATAAAAGTTATCTCTATATAGATACATTTGTAAAACCTATTTGTATATAGATCCATTTTTAAACGATGTATCTATATATAGATCCATTAAAAAAAATTAAGATTACCCAAAAACCATAAATCTTAACGGACCAATTATATGCCTCGCCGCGTTCTATAATTTTACGTTTAATACTATTTTTGGGTGGTTTGCCCATTTTATATATGTCCATAATTGACCTCCTAGCTCAACCATCTTACAGAAGTGTCATCCCATCTTGAAGTCAATTTGTTTATTTTCCATTTATATTCGCAAATTCAATTTTTATTTGTCACAAATTATGATTTTTTTTTAAAAAAAAAGAAAATATCATCCATCATCATCATAAATCCATTTATATTTTATTACATTTTTTTATTTATATTAATATCGAATTATTATTATTTTTTAGTTTGTCCTTGAAATATAGCGGCTTTGGCTATAATTTTAGTTAAGAGAGAGAGAAAAGCATTGAAATTCCTGATTTCAATAGATGAATATATTCACTATCGGTGAGTGATTAATAAATTGTAATATAATAATCTTATATCATCCTTTAATTAATTTTAAGCATAAAAGTTGTCTATGTTACCCCCCCCCCCCCACCCCCCTAAAAAAGCAAAGTCGTTGCATTTCGCGCTACTATGTAAAAAAAATTAAGTTATTTTTAGTAACTTTAAAAATAACATTTGCTCAATAGGTGCTGAGGATGGCAGGTGCAGGAGTCTATTATAATTTAATAGCAAGCTTTTATTTTAAAGTTTGGAATTTATTTAAGGTTTTTTTCTTCTAAACATTAAACAATTATTTTTTAAAGTAGATTAAACAATAATTTTTTTTAAAAAAAGATTTAAATATAAAGTAACGTGAATAATAACGCGTTACTTTAATTTATGGCTTTTAAAAAAAAGTAACTACCTAGTTTTTTGAGAAAAAAAGTGTAAAGATTTTTCTTTTGTAACTTATCCAATAACATCACTTAGTGTTGTTAAAAGGCTCGTTTTGAGCCGATTTTTAAAAACGGCTAACTCAATATCTTAGCCTAAAAAAGTATTGCCTAAGGCTCTATATTTTGTTAATAGATGTCTAGATCTTTATATCATATATGATCAAAATCTTCAGGCTTAAGTAATATTTTCTAAATAAAATATTGAGTTAGCCGTTTATAAAAATTGGCTCAAATCGAGCCGTTATCATTCATTTCGATATACAAATTTACAGATTTTTTTTTAATAAAAATAGAATTATTATTCACGTTTTCTCTTGTCTTATCCTTAAAATCAGAAATATAATTTATGAAACTATAGGCCATGAGTTAATGTGAGTATCCAGTGGCGTAGCCATTATTTATCCCAGTGTTTTGGAGAGAATAAAGAAATATTGACCATTAATAAAATACATTTTTTTAATTCTATTTCATATATTTCTTAATAATTTACTAGTATAGAATTTAGATTTTAATTTTAAATGTTTCATTCAATAAATCAATCATGACGTTTCAAAATGTTCTCTTTAAGATTTTACGGGCAAATCTGACAATATCTATTTCACGGAACCTAAAAGCGCGTATTTTAAATCGAGTATCTAGAAAAATTGTATTTTATGTTTTTTAATACTTTTACCTTATAAAATTGGTATAAAATCAAAAAAAAAGCATATTATATTATTTTTTTTTGTAGCATATTAAATTGTCATTTATAAATAAAATTTTACCTACAAAATAGAGTCAAAAAAACTGAAATATTTTAAAAAATGCCAAGAAAATAATTTAAAAAAATGAATCCAGAAAATTAATTTTTTTTTTCAATATCTTGAACCTTCCACTTTTAAAAAGGGTTAGGGTTCAGCAAAAAACACGAGAGTTTATGTTCACTTCCCTATATTTTTTTAACCTATTGTATGCTTAGTATGGAAACTTATTCAAATGAAATTTCAGTGATTTTCAATTTTTTATTAAATCATCATTCTGCATAAGTGGACGATTTGATTTTTACAAAGCTTGATTGGTTAAAGTTTTTTTTTAATAGTTAGACCATTCCCCAATCAAAGTGACGATGATTTTAAATATTTGGGAGGGGCCTCCTTTGATGGTAAAATTTTGATCGTATTTCCGTCCATTTCGACATCATTATTAATACGAATTTTATGCTGGTAATTATTCTATTTATCCATTTATTTAATGTATAATTTTAATTTACAACTATTAAATATACCAATCAGAAAAGTGAACGAATTTACGATCAAATGACTTTTCGATCATGGCTAGGCAAATCAAATATTTAGAATCTTGCTGCATACAACTGATGCACCAAATAGTCCCATATACTGAAAAATTATATATATTTATCTTAGATAAAATAAATTTATATTTGGGCCAAGATTTTACTAATTTGATTCCCTCTTTATTTTTATTAATGTTTTATCAGAATTTATTTAATACTTTTCTTTGTTGGTTTTATGATATGATAATAATAAACAAATATATAGTTATTGTCCAACTCAAGCAAATTTCCGTTACAACGGTTGATTTATTTAAATTTCTATTCGTCTATTATTAAATGACCTGTCAGTGACGGGTAATTATTGAAAAGGATTTAATTCTATTAAAAACTAATCTAAACCATAACCCATACCTCTCAGATCTTTAAATGGCCCTATATATCCCTCCAACCTTTAATCCTACTTCTTATTTTAGATAGTTGTTTAATTTTAAATATATTTAATTCAATTAAAAAAAATCCCCTTAGTTGAACATTCCTTGAGTTGAACGAAATATCGAAATTATTTTTCTAAATGTCATAATTAATCATTATTTATGATAGGTTATAAAGAGAAACTATGTTCGATTCACTATCTGTTGTATTACACGCATGCTATCACTTCATGGGTAAATTTAATATCTTTTATACCTTATTTAAATTACTAATTAAAACTAATGTATGTCGTAAAGGGTTTGCCAATTCAGGGCTACGCTTCATTGACCCTAGTTTTTAGCAAATTTAAAAAAACTTAAATTATTTATAGAATGAGATCTTATTTTGCCGGAAGCATATTTCAGAATGAACAGGGTAACTACCCTGAAAATCTCGTTCATTTTCGCTCTAAATTTTTAAATTTATACGAAGAATCTGTATATATGTTTGTCGTATTGGGATATGGAATTCGAGATCTCTCAATTTTAAATCATTTACTGAGATCGTAAATGTATCCCAAGACATCTTTAGAGTATCCACACGAATTAGTGTTGTTAAACGGCTCTATTTAGCCGATTGTAAATTAAGATTTCAGCCAAAATATTTTTACGTAAACCTCTAGATTTCGCCAATAGCTGCTCATACCTTTCTGCCATCTATGAGCAAGATCTCCGTGCTTGCGTAATATTTTTTTGGATAAATTTTGAGTTAATCGTTTTACTATGTTATATATTTCGCCACAAATTGGCTCTAACTGTGAATGCCGGATGAATCTGTTGAAAAATACCTTAATTTTATATCCGTTTTTATATATAAATTAAGGAAAAAACAATATTTTATGACCAAAATCAATACATATAGCAATACTATTCCGGCAGAATAAAGTCTTTCAAAATTTTTCAAAAAAATGTGCGTTACATATTATTAAATTAAAAAAAAATATAAACACGGATCAGCTGAACCCTTACGTTATATTTATAACGAATAGTGTATTATTTTCTATAAGAAAAAAAGTAAAAGTAACGCGCTTTACAGAGTAACTGTATCGCATTACTTTTTTAAAAAGGTTTTTTTACACAATATAATGCCGATTTATTTTTAAAGGGAAATCGAATGTGGAGATTCTCCGTTGGTTTATTTCTGGTTCAAATGACTAAAAGTTTACGATTAACTGCGATATACGGATTTTCCTCCAGCGTCACTATACTCATATTCGGTGCAATCATTGGTAAATGGATTGATAGAAATCCAAGATTCAAAGGTGAAATCAATAAATAAGTTTTTTTTGAATAATATTGAGATTTTTGCCATTTTTATCCATATCGAAAATCAAAATTTGCTTTTGATATACAAGTAGTAATTATACCGGCCCAAACAATGATTATATTAAATATACACAGCTCAAATTAAATTTAAAATTTTAATATATATTTTAAACATAATTTCATGTCATTAAAGATATGAAGGTTGTTAAAATTCCCAATACTTCGAGTTTTTAATTAAAATAAAATCGGAATGCAGTTCTATATTTATAAATTTTTTTTATATATTATAATGTTATACAATGTTTAAGTTGCCAAGCTAGCCCTATTTTTTCAAAATGGGTTGCTTTCATTTTGCGCCACCATATTCGCCATCGCTTTCATGTTCTCCAGAAAGTACGAAAAATTTAACGGTCCAAATATTGATTACGTATTAATGTTCCTGATATTGGTCTCGGCGGTGTTAGCTGACGTGGCCGGAATGGTATCTCAAATCGTGATAGGCAAGGATTGGGTCGTTATAATAGCCCGTGAAAATAATTTGAACCTAGCCAGTTAAGTATTGTAAAACTATCATTCTTGAATATTGAAAAACTAAGATTAAAGTCACCGTTTATATAACCGGGGATAGTTTTAATCAGATGGTAGACAATTTGATTATACCTAACACTGTTACTTTATGGGAGTTGTATTTTTTTTATTATTTAAATATGCCTTTTGATTAATTTTTTTAATACCCTAACTCAACCGAATGATTTATACCTCTTGAAAATCTGAGTTTAAAATTTTTGGAGACAAGGAGATTAATTAAAAGTGGTGGATATTAAATTACATTTTTTTTTGTATAAAAAAATTATCAGATAAAACTTATCCGAATAACGAACAATATTAATAAATCAATAAAAGAAACGGAATTTATAATGCTTTTTATTTTTTTCATTTTTAAAAAAAAATTTAGTATATTAAAAAGGAAACAGATCTTTAAAAAACATATACTCTATAAATGACAATAACAAAAAGGATTCATTATTATTAATATAACGAAATAATTACTCTGAAAGCTTTTTTTTACACCTTGAGTTTATATTTTTTACATTATATTTATACCTCATTATAAAATAATTAATTTATCAAGGATTGAACGCCACGTTAAAACGCATCGATCTGTTGACCAACATTTTGACGCCCTTGTTTGTGGGTCAAATTCTAAATTTAGTCTCCTTCCTTACAGGGGCTAGCATCGTTGCAGGATGGAATATCGTTTCCATGGTATTCGAATACGTTTTACTCCACAAAATATATTACGCTGTTCCGCGTTTAGCATTCAAAACGAATATAGCCGTGGATGAATTACCGCCTCAGGATGTGGCTGTAAATGGTGTTCCGCTGGTTAAACGGGTCGGTGACGAAAAGAAAATAGAGGAAGGACACGATATGACCACGGAAATTTCAAAAAAACATGACGAAGTGAAGCCAAAGGGGCTGCGTAAAAAGGATGGCAGCGAGATTGTTGGTAAGAATGGAAAAAATTCGGAGGAAATAATTTCCACGGTTGAAAAAAATGATCCACAAGTGATTTCTAGTTCGAAACTATATAATGATCTCAGCTTGAAAAAAAATGGCGAAGATTTCGTAAAGGAGCCCTTGATAGATAAGTCCCAGACAAAATCTAGTATTTTTTTAAAAATTTACTTTTTACATTATGATATCAACTTTATGCTGACTCTTATCCACTTATTATAAACCAAGAAAAATTTTAAAATCAATATTTTAGTGTATTGCTTACATGTGTGTATTTTAAATTAACTATATATTAAAGGTCCGCACCGGCCATTGAAGATCTTTGAAAAATTAGCCTGGTTGAGCCCCGTTAAATATTTTTGTATAAATTCCTCCTTGGCCCGTTATAATTTTTTATTAGGGGAAAAAGACATAAATTTTTCTATATCCAGCCCGGTCAAAAAATACTTTCTCCAAGTTATTTGGTTGTAAAATCTTTTTTCCCCTTGAAACTGGGCCGACCTCTACTAATAACATATTTTCTACTTGTAATGTATTTTAAACTTTAAGATTTAAGTAATATAGTACTTTATCAAATAAACGAATATATTATTTATTTATACTCTCACAATAAGACGATGTTATAAAAGATTTCCAAAAACCTGAACAATTAAAAGATCCCAATCTCACATCTACTACCGATGTTGAACAAATAGAGATTCAACCCAAAAAAAATAACACAAAGAAAATAGAGTAACTAAAATAATTTATTTTAAATATTACAACGTATAATTTAAATTAGTTTTTTGAGACAATTCAAAGATTCTGTGGATGGATGGAAATTGTACATGGGCCAAAAGGTTAAATACGCGGGGTTTTCGTTGGCTCTGCTTTACTTAACTGTTATAGGATTTGATTCAATTACTGTCGGTAAATATTTTCGCCACCTTTTCTTTTCTATCTCTTTAATTTTACAATTTATTATATTGAAGGTATGTGCATGTGCACAAGTATTTACCTTGTAAATTATTACTAAACTTAAAGTGTATTAAAAATTTGAAGAATATCATTTTTAAACTTTACGTTATGCCCAAATTTTTAATAATATGATATCCGGATGTGAAATCCAATGGGGGAGGATATCTCGATTTTTAAATTATTTATTAAATTTTGAATTGGAAAAATGGCCAAAAATATATTCCACCATATATAGATTAGTGAATTCGAGTACCTTCCCCTATGAATTTCACACAATTTTTGCCATAAACATTTGTATATTTTTTTAAAAAATTTATAACGAGAAATCTATACAATTAAATATAAATTTAAGAGCACTTCAAATAAAAAATTATTGCATTGCAATTAATGTTAAACGGCACTATCTGAGCCAATTTAAAATAAACGATTAACTTAATATTTTATCCAGAAAAATATTGCCTAAGAAGTCTTGAGATTTCGTTAATAGATGTCCAAACCTTCGTGCCACCTATGGACAAAATCGTCAGGCTTGACCAATATTTTTTTATATAAAATATTTAGTAGCCGTTGTTAATAAGCTCAAATCGAGCCATTTAACAAGATTCAGATTTTTCAAATTTAAAGAATCCTCCCCCCCCCCACCCCATGGATTACATATACTGTTGCGATATATATAGTATATAAATATATAATAAGATTAAATGTTAGAAAGATAAGTTATGGTTAATTAAAGGTTTGCGAGATATGGGTTAGGTTTGTCAAATCTGATAGACCATGTGATTAAAAATAATTTTCTTGAGTTGGACCGTAATCTAAATATATATACTATACAATCGAGGTCTTAATTTTAATATTCCTTGCTATATTTTTTTTTAAACTATACATAAATTTCTCTCTGCCTTTTCAGGTTTGGGAAGCCGGAAATAAATATCATAGGCTTCAAATCATCATTTAAAATTAGATTCATTGACTCGTGAAGAAGATTTGGAAATTTAGTCAAAAATAATTTGGTTCGACTTATAGAATCGCCGAATGTATTTATTTAATAAAATTAAGATAGGGAAATTCATTTTAAATTTATAAACACAACCCAACTGAACAAAAAATGATGAATTAATTAAAGATTTTTGAATCTTGTATTTAGGTTACGCTTACTCACTGCATGTATCAGAAGCGGTTCTCGGTTGCATGATAGCATTAGGAGCCTTGACAGGTATTATTGGTACTTTTATCTACCCTGTGATGAAAAATAGATATGGGTCAATTACATCGGGCATTTTCGCTATAATGCTACAAGTTAATCAGTGCCTTACTTATTTTTTATGCATTAATTTGTTGTTCCTCGCTTTAAAAATTATATAAATTTAAAATGAATAATTAAGGTTCATTTATGCCCTTATCAAAATTATATTTAATATGATTTCCTTATTTAAATAAAGCTAAGTTGCCTAGTTTTCTGCCTGGTATCGATCTGGCTTCCTGGATCCCCTTGGAAACCAGGATTCATATTTCAAGACCTAAAAGAATCATTTGCAAAATCATCCGACTTAAAAAATTCGTCAAATGAATTCAAATTAATACCAAAACATACATTCGAGGGCGTACCAGAGCTTGATTTTCCCCATCAAAATCATGAATTAGACGTCAATTTCAATCCATTAAATATACCAGATGGCAAAGAGAGGAACTTATCGAACCGTAGATCAATCCTCGCTGAAAAGACTGATAATTTCCAATTGTATCGTATGGAGAGAAGTCTCAAAATAAATGAATCTAAAATTTTGCTCAAAAACAATAAGAAATATTTGCATATCGGCGTATTTCTATTCGGGATAGTAGCATCCAGAATAGGTTTATTATAAAAAAAATTATATATTTCAATCATGGTATCCTGGTTTTAAAATAGGGGTTTATACAAGTTTCGTGGGGAAACTTTTCTCTTCATAATCCCTCTTGGCAAACTTTCGATCCTATTTTACTGGTATTAAGACTTAAATATTGTGATAAATGGGTCACTTAAGTTATTATTCCTTTCTTTCACATATTATTTGTTGTTATACCCTTTATATTTTACTAATCATTCAATTATAAGTTACATAGTATTGCTTTAAATTTTTCAAAAATATGTTATATTTTTTTAAAAAAATCGATTCATGGATTTTTTTTAAAAATTTTAAAGCCATTAACCAAGAGTTTAATTACATTTTATTATGGAAAATTAAATTATCGTTTAAGAAATAGTAGATTAAACTTTTTGAAAATAATAATAAATTCGGTTTTTTATTTTATTTGATAATTAAATAAAAAAATAAGAAGCATATTTTTTGCAATAAATTTTCCCAGAAATTTCAAAAAAACATAAATTCTGATTTAGTTTTTTTGCCTGAGAGGCGACCCATATATTTTAGTTTTATATCAAATGTAAATTATTTATGCGTTTAAAGGTTTATGGATGATAGATCTTACAATCAATCAAATAATGCAAGAGTCTGTAGTTGAATCCCAGAAAGGTGTGATAATGGGGGTTCAGCATTCGTTGACCATGATATTTGAGATAATTAAATATTCAGCCGTTATATTGTTACCTAAGCCTCAAACTTTTGGTTGGCTAGTCATTTTATCGTTCTGTTCTATATGCGCTAGTCTTATATGTTTCTGCAAATATGCTTATCAAGCTAAAAAAGGTCACCTAAGGCTCGAGGATTCTATTGATGATACTCAGAATGTCCCTATCTGTTCGTGTTTTCAGAGAAAAAAAAGAGACATTTCCATGAATGTCAACAATAAACGTCCGTCAAGACAAGATATACCCTTTTCAAAAACAAATAGCTATATATTGTTACCCAAATGTGGAAGTTCAAGCAAAAAATTGATCTCACCTACTCCCAGGCCACTAAATCCAAAATCGGGTGATTATAGTACCCCTATAACTAAAGAAAGGATATACGTAAATGACGGTGAGAGGCATGTGATGGGAAATAGTCAACTAGAAGGAATCTTAACTCCTGTTTACAACACCGTCATGACAAAACCTTTTGAGCATTCAGAAGATGGTACGCCAATGAAAACCAACCATGATTTGGATGCAAAGAGAGATTATCATGCCCTGAAGCATCTCGGCAAATGATATTATTCACAATTATACATATCTCTCACTATTATCGCACATATAATTTTTTCTAATCAATATTTTTTACATCGCATATTTGTGATATTTTTGCCCAAGTTTTAGATTCTCTAAATATTTTTAAAATACTCGTTAAAACGTACAAATTTTTTCTACATCCGTTCATATATTTTTTTTGCATCCATCCATATTATTTTATACATATCACCTATTCTATTTATTAAAAATATTGTAAACATTTCAAAATAGAAACAACAAAATTTGCTAAATTTATTGAACTTTTCTTTTATAAATTAAATAAATTGCAATTTAATATTTCACATTATTTAATAACAAAATATACCCGACTGTGTCTCTCAATTAAGTATATGAATACTATAAAACATTACATAATACTATTATACTATGGCACAAAATAAAATATAGTAGTTGTTTCAAGTAATCATTGACATAGGTAGAAATTAGAAAATTCAAGCAGATTGCGGGGTAGCGTTAATTCTTTTGGGATGGACTATAACAGTTTCCCAGGGTGTTACCCCTCTGACACTGTATTCAGGGATATCATAATAAACATCGGTATACAACTCTTTCAAAGGGGGTTCTGGGTCGGCCATAGCTTTATTCGTGTCTTTCTCTATTTCTTTCTTAATGTCGGTATCAATTTTCTATTTTTTAAAAAAAAATAATTAAATGGCATTAAATTATATTTTTTAAAAAAATATATATTTTACTTTTAACTCTTCAACCGTGACTAGATTGCTTGATAAGATTTTATCTTTGAAAGAGGTTATGGGATCTCTTGTTTGTCTGACTTCTTGAATTTCGTCTCTCGTTCGGTAGCTAATTTTTAAAAAATTACGTGGTCACTAAATGAATATAGAGAAGAGATGAATAATAATTTTAAAAAAATCAAATGGTTTACATAATTAACTTATAGGCACAACACAATTTTTCCATTAAGGACGAAAGATAATTTGGTAAAGAGAAGCGCGTTGATGGAAGTAAGGGACCAAGGGCTCGAGGAAGGCCCCATGATATGAGAGAAATGGATTTCACAAATAGTGATGCTCAGGCTCGACAAAAATGGGGAAGAAATTGATTTACGCGGGTAAATGTAAAAATCGGCATGGAACAGAGAAGAGTACATTAAATGGGAGAAAGAATCAAGTCGCCATAACATTCCGACCTTTCAAGAAAGGTGGCAGGACTCCTTTCCGGACTACAATCATCAAGTTGAAATTACAAAAAAAATAAATATTCCTTTTTTTAAACTTATCTGATATTGATTCACTTCATAACTACCACTCTAGGGAGCTTTAAAAGTTCTGATGATTGCAATGACGAAAATACAAGACCACGAGGAAAGTTTTTTTTATTAAAAAAAATATATCAATAGCGATATGTAAATCCAACTTAATCTCAAAGACCCAAAATATTTAAAGCTATCTAATAAATTCGGGCCAGGCAATTTGAGCGAAATCGGGCGGTTGGCCAATTTATGCAAAATATATTTGCGCCGAGCCAATCCGTGATAAAGGAAGCTCTCTTCGCAAGAGTAAATTGTGTGGGCAACCTGTATAAAATATTATTATTTGCCGGGATAAAAATAATACAATTAATATTTGACTGTATACATGTCGAATTTTGTATTTTCAAAAACAGATGATGAACTATCTAGACCCTTTATAAATATTAAATCCGCCTAATAAAAATTACATATTTATAACTTTAGTAAAGCACAGCAGTTGTCCGACCGACTTTTCAACTAGTCTAAATCACGAAATCATTTTCTATTCACAGATCTATAATCTTTCAATTTGCAAGTAATTCATTCATAAGAATAAATATTTGAAGGAGGGGGTGAGGTATAGAGAAATGACATACCTCAGTAATTGAAATATGGGATATTACAAGATAGTAAAAAATGAAAAAATTTCAAACAACACCAATAAATCTAAATAATTATTAACCCTAAATCTCGCACGTACTTGTCAAAAGAATAGTGACTTTTTACGAGATAAGTTTAAAAAAAGGCTACGGGCGAAATGAGATAAAATGATATAATTAAATGACCTCATAGATTATAATTTTATGCATCAATTAAAATTGAATAAAAATTAGAAAATATGAACATCGAAAACCGCGCTAAGATAAAAAAAATATATACAAGAATTAAGAAATTATCTAATTTAATAGTACTACATATTTTTTAAATTGAGACGTATTTTTATGATATTAATGGAAATGTGAAAAATAGACAAAAGTTGTGATGCACATTATTTTATTTGGAATAAAATGCAAAAAAATCTTTAATTTGGATTCAATATAAATAAACTATTCCTCTCTAAATTTCCATCATAATACAATTCAATGCCGTGACATATTTTTTTATCTTTAGCAACAAGATGAATCTGTGGGGTAATGAGAGCCAACTTATGATATACTATGAAGATTGGCGTAAATTAACATCAATTAATTCAAAATAAAAAAAAATATGATATATCATATTCTAATCATCTACACGTTGTGCATACTTACCTTGTTCCTGGGTCACTCATACTATGGCCGTGATACCGATAAGTTGCCACCTCCATGACAATCGGCCCGGCCCCACTCAAACAATGTTGCTTGGCGAATCGCGTGGCTTCTCTGACAGCTATAACGTCCATGCCATCGGCCCAAATTCCAGGAATATAATCGCCTCTGGTGTAATAATCAGTGCTGGCAGAGGCCCGTTCAACGCTCGTGCCCATGCCTGTAATATGAGATGTATTTAGTATCTATCAATGATGTATATACTACTAAATTGGCGAGTCATTAAGAGTCCATACATAAGAGTAAGCTATAGAGCCATTTTATGGTTTGCACGCCGAATAATTATCCTTTTTTATATTATATGAATGCACATTAATTAATGCCATTTAACTGACGTGCAAACCACAAAATGGCACTTAGATGACCCCTCTCTATGGACACTTTTAGATGCATTTAATGTATGAAACGTCAATCTAGTAGTATAATTAAGATGTTATAAAATTTATCGATTTTTTTAAAAAATATTACGAAATATTTAAAAAAAAATATATATACCAAATCCATTATTTTCGCACACGAATATGCAGGGCAAGCTCCAAAGCTTGGCTATGTTAAATGCCTCGTATATTTGACCTTGATTGGCGGCCCCGTCTCCGTATAGAGTAACGCACACCTTGTTTCTTTCTAAATACTTGTGGGCTAAGGCGATGCCGGCTCCTAAAGGAACCTATAGCAAGTTTTTTTTTTCATTTAAAAGAAATTAACATACTATTAGATTGTTTTATCCGTTATCCAATAAAATTTGTCTAATCTAAAGAGTCGAATAGCTAAATACTAATAAGTATTCAATCCTTTACTTACCCAACATAGCAAATATTCAAAACGACCTATACTTCACATATTGGCTTAAAATAAAATAAAAATTAGACCAATATTTAAGCTTTATTATCATGTTGCTCTAACAATGACTAACCTTTTTTGATGAATTAGTTAGCGATATAATGAAAGAGTAAATACTTAATTGGATTCATCAATTATCTATAAATAAATATCCAAAATATTTTGCTCAATCTCACGAAACACATATTAAATCATTGACAGATGTACAATTAACTAATAGCCGATACAAATTTTATATTAGTATAGGACCGAATCTGGGGTCGGGTCTTAAATAAATTTATTAAATGGCTTATCACATCAAACAAAACGATATAATTTTTTTTACAAGATTTTAAAAAAAAACTCCATGATATCATCATTACCTTGTTACCCTCTAAAAAATAAATTTTCATACCAAACAATTGGAAAAAAAAACTTAATTACCTGGGCTCCTACTATTCCGTTACCGCCATAAAAATTGTAATTGTACATGTGCATAGAGCCGCCTTTTCCCTGAGATATGCCATTGGCTTTGCCCATAAGTTCGGCTAGAATCTTATAACCGGGAACACCTCGAGTATAGCACCATCCGTGAACGCGATAGGCCGAAATAACTGAATCGTCTCTGTCTATGGACCCTTCTATGCCCACGCAACATGCTTCCTTTAAAATGGGTAAAAAATAATAAGAAAGAATATTAGTATAGACTAGTCACATTGATAAATCACATTCTTAAAAAAGGTAACTAGTTCTTACAGTTGCATTGCAAGTTAATTTATAATTATTTGTATAACCTCATCATTTTTATTATAGATTTTTTTTTTATTTAAACAAAATAATTTTTTGATTAAATTTTAATCAAAGACATTTATTATGAAAATAAAATAAGGAAATAACTGCACCGAAAAAATTTATAAATCTGGGGTTAATAAATTTTTATGATATTAACAATATAAACTACTATTTTCAAAATTGGTGCCCTAAAACGCGTGCTATCCAAAAATAAGCTTCCCTAGATTAAACAAACATTCTACGAGAGCGCTAGAATAAACAATGAGTTTAAATTTAGGAAATCATAAAAATAAAGATAGGGAGTGAAAATATATATAAATATTTAACATGCTTTAAAAAGTATCATGAAACATGACTAGCTACCTTTATTGTTACATTTCAAAAAATATATTTTTCAAAAGCAACTAGAGTTTTTCGTAAAGAGTTATTTTGAAAACAGAGAATATTATAAGGCAAAATCAGTCTTAAAAAAAATATGAGAAGAAATAAGTGGGAAGTATTAAAGTAAAGTTACGTTTGGCTAGCATTTAGCAAAGCAGAAATAACAGTCAAATATTAAAAAAACTATATATAATATTTAAAGACGTGCCAATTTTTAATGTCAGATCAGCCCAAACATTCATGCAAAAAAAATCGGATAATGACCAAAACCAATAGTTTTAAATTTTCCAATTCGATGTAGTGGAAAAATTTCATAGAAAAAAGTATATTCATTATTTTTTCCATTTTTTTAAATGTAGAAATCAGAGACCTGCATGCCCGGCCATGGTACCCGGGGCGGGCCTGAAATTTTTTTTAAAAAATATCCGAGCCGGGAGCATGAAAAAGTTATTTTTTAAATTACCCGGGCCGGGCCGTAAAATTTTTAAAAAATTTTTACAACATGAATTATTATATACGACAATTAGATATGGTTATAATGATTATATATAACTATGATTAATATAATGTTGGGTGAAAGTTAACACTAGCTAACACTCACTCATAGTATCTATTACATAATATAATTATAGTTTTGTTGCCATGGAATAAATACGCAAAAAAATAATAGGTAATATACATTATTATATAATATATGTTATATTTTTTATTAATTAAAATATTAGTTTTATTTTTTTTATAAATACAATTAATATAGTATATTCTCAAAATATTATTTAAACAAATTTTTTATATTATCAATTTGTAAATATAATAAATACCTGTTTAGAATATATAAAAAATATAGTGTTGTTAAACGGCTCGTTTTGAGCCGATTTTTAAAAACGGCTAACACAATATTTTATCCAGAAAAATATTACGCAAGCCTGAAAATTTTGTTCATAGAAGGAACAAAGCTCTAGACATATAGTATTGAAATTTCGAGGCTTAGTCAATATTTTTCTAGCGAAAATATTGAGTTAGCCGTTTTTTAAAAATCGGCCCAAATCGTCGTTTAACAACATTACCTTATATGCTTGCTTATTAAATGATAATACTCCCAGAAAAATATGATAAAATACCAAAAAGTAAATTTTTTGTATATACTAGGTCGAATATAATTTAAAAAAATTACGAGCCGGGTCTAAAAAAAAAATCCGGGCCGTGCAAATGGTATTTCTGCAGGTCTCTGATAGAAATATTCCCCATAGTGTTATAAAATTTCACATTTTCTAGCATTGTATTAATATATTTTAAAAAGTGGTTGTAAAATTCATTTAAATAAAAATTTACAAAGAGAGATGAGCACATTTAAAAAAGTAAGACATTATATTTAAAAAATATTGATCGAGTAGAATAAAATTAGATTGGTACAGCCAATACAGGCATTTCTACCATGAATGATAGTGGAGGGAGGGGGATATTACAAGATAATGAATGAAATTGAAGGGAGGGGGATATTACAAGATAATGAATGAAATTGAAGGGAGGGGGATATTACAAGATAATGAATGAAATTGAAGGGATAAGTGAAGACATTGTCCTTAGAATAGAAAGGAAAGGGGGTAGGTGGCAAATAAATGTAAAGGGGAAAAATGTATTAATACCACCTTTTTAAGCAATAATGATACTCAAAGCTGATACTAACACAATCCACTAATATCTGATTACTTATTTATAAAAAGCAATATATAAAATAAATCAACGATATTATATCTTTTTTAAATTCATTTATCATTTATGATTAATCTATGAAACTTATAAAAGTAAATTAAATTTAAAGAAAAAAGATATAAAAATTAGGACCTTTTTTTTATCAGTTTAGAAATTTTTTTATGAATTAAAATTATTTTTTAAATCAATGAAAATTATTTAGCATTTTTGAATATTGGCCACTGTTATTGGGTAAAATTGAAAGCATTGGCTGACATCTACTGACTGCTTGTGTACAGGCTCAATACAGTCTACCTCTGAGTTAGATTTCCTTTCTTTTTTTTACTAATTTTGATCATTTTAATTTCCTTTTTAACTTTTTTGATTTTGAGTTAATTGATTACAATTTTCTAATTTATGTTTAAGCAGAGGGAGAAAATATTGTGATTGGTATAGGGGGGTTATAAAGTTTTTGATCCATCTGATATCAGTAATTGACTGATATTAAATTAATATTAGTAAGGGTATAGGAGGAATAGGGGGCTAATGATAATACACGCTAAGCATGCACTGTTTTTTCATGATTTTCATAAATTACTAAGCACGCCAAATTTAAACATTTCAATTTTAAAAGTAGCGCCTTCAAGTTGTAGCTGTGGATATTTGGAATCTTTTTTATTACCATGTAGACATATTTTTAAATATAGAAGATTGAATTGTATTGATCTATATGATCAAAATTTATGTCACCCAAGATGGCAGAGAGATTATTTCATGAATTCTAAAGTTCATATGATTAAGGAAATAATAATAGTAGATTTGCCAATAATATTTATCAGAATGATATTATATCTGATCATAGCATGACAATAAATCAAATTGTCAAAGAAAATTTTTTGTTAGGGGCCATTTTAGCTTATTTGCTTTTTTAATATGTTTTGTCAAATGCATTCTGATTCATTTCAGATGATATTGAGGCTATATTTTGAATGATATCTTTAATTTTTCTAAATTTTTTGTCAGATGACAAAAAATTTTTTTCTTTGACAATATGATTTATTGTCATGCTATGATCAGATATAATCATTCTGATAAATATTATTGGCAAATCTATTATTATTATTATCCTTAGTCATGAACTTTAGAATTCATGAAATAATCTCTCTGCCATCTTGGGTGACATAAATTTTGATCATATAAATCCATACAATTCAATCTTATATATTTAAAAATATGTCTACATGATAATAAATGAGTTCCAAATATCCACAGCTACAACTTGAAGGCGATACTTTTAAAATTGAAATGTTTAAATAATTGTTTAGTTTTTCAAATAAAAAAAAATTAAAATGATAACATTTACATTTGTAAGTTTATTTATTTACTTATATAAAAATAAACATGACGTTTTTGGCCTGCTTAGTAATTTATGAAAATCATGAAAAAACAGTGCACACTTAGCGTGTATTATCATTAGCTGGAATAGGGGGGGGGGTAGAACGAATATCACATGATTTTTTAATCATTATAAATAATGGTTTAAATCAGAAAGGGTTCATTATTGTAATTAGATCAGAGATCAGCAGAACTCTGCTTGAAGCAGGCATTATTTAAAAAGATTGTCCAACCCAGTGGATAAAAAATTTGCTAAATCAGGCTCATATAAAAATAGTATGAAGTTATTCACCAACTCATGATAAAATTTTTGAAAGAAAACAACTAATATAAATTCTCCTTACAAAATTTTAAAAAATCTAGTAACAATCATGGTGTAAAAATATTTTACCCAAGTTGCCTATAGAACCATGCAAACTGTGTTGTTAAATAGTCCAATATGAGCTGATTATAAAAATAGCTCAATTAAGATTTTAGTTTAAATATTATTATGTAAGCCATGATTTGTTCATAGATGACATATGCTTATTTGTAGAACAATAAATTTTTTCATAAACTATACATTCATCTCTACAAAATTAAGAGGGGTGGGCATGAATTATAAATAATTAATTGTTATCAAATATAAATGCAATTTGGTATATACCAGCCCAAAACCTGGAGCTTAAGATATTTTAAAAATTGGACAGGTTTGGCTAGAAAATATGTACAAAATGTTTTCCTTTTAATTAATAGGTATTTCTTCCTTTTGATTAAAATAATCTGCAATTAAAACAAAATAATAAATGATTTTTATTATATTTAACTTTATAAAAATATGTTTATTTAAAATTTTTAGAATAAAAATTTGTGCCAGGCTCAAGCCTAAAGAATAAATAAAAATTTTGGCAAACTTGGGCTTATAAATAAATTGAGTTGCGCTTTGGGGGAAAAAAAATAAAATCTGTAGGTTTCTCTGGTTTTAGTCAATATATAAAAAAAATGAAATTGTAAATTAAGAAATAAAAAAGTGTATTGATAGCATAGTTGATATATGTAGCCTTTTAAAAATAAAATTAACTTGTCCAGAATATAAATGGCAAAATCCTCTAATTTTTTTGTCTTTATATAAATTTCCACATGTGGTTTCCAATCTTCTTATATATTGCATGTCATAATAATATTTAAGGGCTTCATCTCTAGTAACAACTGTTTCTAATGATGGTCCTTTTTCTAATTTGTGCAACTTGAAATCCTAATAAATATCATTTTTTAAAAAAATCATTAATTAATGTTTACTCTCAAATTAAACCGAGCAGATGTTTCTATAGCATAATTATTAATGTTAACTTTCTAAAAAATCAATTTAAGTATAAATTCTTGTAAAATTACGAGTGGCGTGAAGGTATAAGTTTTTAAAAATTTACAGGCCTTTTGCATATTTTTCAATACTAGCATTTACTAGAAAAAAGACAATGGATGTCATTTGTATGACACACTTTATAACGTGACATGTGCCATGTTGACTTTTTTTTATTCTTTACTTCTTCAGCTGAAGAACCAAAATTCTTCAAACATTCACCTGGCTTTCAATATTTTATGATTTTCTTTTATTATGTTTTGTTTATATTTTAAAATCAATAGGTTCTATAACTCAAATAATTTAGTTTTTCAGGTATATTATATTATTTAGAAACCAATATATATCGATATATCTCAAAAAAATTACATATATGTATATAATGATAAAGATTTTTTTTACAAACATAATTGCTTAATTAGGATTCTAAATATTATTTAAATTCCTAACTATACTGAGGATTAAGAATTGAATTCCCTGGTTCTATCATCATAAAACTCAACCCTATACTAGATTAACAATGACACAATTTGACAATACACCTCTGCATGTTATAAGGTCCTTCTAAAACCTATTCATATTTTTAATCCACAATTTAGTTAATTAGTTTTATAAATATATCTACTATAAAATAAAATTATGTTACTACTCTTTAATATTTCTGATTGCTCAAATTTTATTTTTTTAACGTGACTTATATATATTGTCATTGCTTGCTAAATATATACACCTTTCTTGCAAATATTTTCACAAAATATTCTTTTAATTAGCATTACAGATGACTATTGTGATAAAAGAAATTTTTTTTAAAAAGTAAAACTTAATAAATTTTATATTAATTTTATATTGACTACATTCATATTTTTCATCATTTGTTAGATAATTATTACTCAAATTGGTGTGGTTAATGTGAATAAACAAAATAGAGTTATATTTCAATATTCTATTTATTTTTGTGATTGATTTTTTAAAATTAATTTTGTTTTAATGTTTTTCAGAAAAATTACCGTTCAAACTTTAATAACTGGCCTGTTTTAAAATCATACTATTTTTTGGCTATTTCAAGCTTGTTTTGCAAGTTTCTGATATACATACATTCATTTTAATATAAAAAGTTAAGAATTTGTATTATTTTAAAAAAATACAAATTTAATTATGCATTTTTGAATTTTTTTTTTCTGGAAGAATATGTATTTTATATTCCTTTAATATTTTTCTTTTACACTATGCATCTTCCCATTTAACTAAGATTTACAACATATTTTGAATAAATTTAAATTGCTTTCATATAAACACCATCACCTTGTATCAAAAATCTTTTCTGAATTACTATCTGATATTCTAAGCAAAAAGGAATTTTTTTTTAAATATAAAGATACCTTACCAGTTAAGCCAGATAAAGAATAAAATTGATTATTTTATTATAGTAAATTGTAATCTTTTTTTTGTTCCACTATCTTTTAATCATATAGAAAGTAGAGAATCCCATTTAGTCTATTCATGATCAATGTAAAATTTTAGTTTATTTTTAAATTACTTATTTTATTTTAAAATCAGTCTTATAAAATAAATAATATATTTCTTTTTTTAATACATTTTCAATTTTTTTAGTTTTTTAAATAAAAAAATATATATCACTTCAATATGATGAATGTTCTTAATCTTTAATCAATTTTTTTTTAAATTTTAATTAAGACGCCATTATATCGGATTGAAAAACTTAATAATATCGGCCGAATTTCAATAAAGTCAATATATTGGTCCGATCCGATAAAAAAAATATCTGTACATCTGAAATATAAAACATAATTTTAAATAATATGAAAAAAAATTATACTCTTTTTATATATTAATTTTAACAATTAAGGAATCCAATAAATTATTATGAACATTTATAAAAATGCCTCAACAGTTGCCTATCTTAACTTGTATGGCCAGAAGTTAAACGTACCTTATGCAGCATATATATCTCACTCAAATCAGATTTGAAATAAGCGATATTAAAGATACAGAATTAGAATCACTATTTAAATTATTGAGATTTTCAACTCCCGATGAACAGATATTCTTGGACCCGTCTGAACTTAAATTTCCTAATAAAAACTTTGGATTGGTCGATAAATTTTTAGGGAAACGAAAATATCATAACATCACTATAGAAACTATAATAAACCCAAGAAGTTACAATAATACGTTGGGTTGTCGCAAAGAAACTCAAATTTCAATGGATCGCGAGAATAATGGGCCTCAGTACAATCCTCAAAAATTTATGTGCAATGGGTTATCCGAGAATAACTCCCACCAAGACCAATTTCCGAGTGAGGGTGAATGGCATACGATCAAAAAAAAGCACGCTAATAAATCTAATAAAACAGAGTTAATTGGAAAACTTGATAATGACAGCGAGAAAGTGTATCAAGATTTAAATTATAAAGAAGAGGAACCGCCTACCAACCAAACTAATTCTTATATAAACTTTTATTATGGCAACCCCTCGACTCATGTAATAAAGGGTCTTTTGCATATCTATAAGGAAAATGTTCCTCGGAACATCGAAAAACCTAACGAGAACACATATCCCAACCCTAACATCGAAAACAACAATGATAGAAAAAAGTTAGAATATCGCGATAAACTTACTACATCGCCACCGTTAAAAATTGGGGAATATGCCCGTTCCAACGTCGACGATAATGATAAATGCATATCCGGTATAGATAAATTGGACATCGCAGATAATCGAAACCACATTTCCCAAAATACAAATGATGAACCCCATAGAAGCTTAGATATGGTTTGTATCCTGTCAATCCCTCTTAGGTACACTACCCACCGATTTCTCAAATTTCTTTCCCCTTTCCTAGATTCTACCATCTACATACGCATACTGAAGGACGGTTCTCCCAACCATTACATGGCTCTCGTCAAATTTCGCCACCCCTATGATGCTACCGAATTTTATCACGCGTTCAACGGCGTGCCCTTTTCAAACAACATAAACACCCACATCATTCTCAACAATAATAATTCGACCTCTGTTCTCAATAATCGTACCCATACACCCATCAACGATGTTTGCCACGTGGTATTCGTATCCCGGATTGAATGCGAAAGTTTGGAAAATTGTTCCCCATTCCCCCCTTCCGGCACTACAGAGTTACCGAAATGCATTGTTTGCATGGAAAGGTTTGTAAATAATAAAAAATATTGTGCACTCATCTTTCTTTATTGATTGGTTTGTTATGCAATTATTTTTTTTTAGGTTTTAATCAGGGGGCCCGGAACAAGGGGCATTTTTGCGTTTCCGTTCAAATCCCGTTCCAATCTTATGTTTTTTAAAGTTTATCATTTATATTGGTTCTTTGTGGTGTTAATATAAATTTGAATGTCGAAAAACAACGTTTATCACTTATCCAGCTAAAAAAGATTATGAAAGAAAATAAAAACAACTTTAATATATGCACCTGTTAGATGGATGAAGATTTTAATTTATAGAAATAAATAACAAATTTTTATATATTTATAGGAGCGTTTTGGGAAGGTTGCGGAATACGCGTTCTGGTTCCCGTTCCATAAATTTACCCACCGGGCTTGAATAGGCTCGTTTTTATTTAGTCTAAATATTTGGTTTTTGACATCCCAATATTTTAATCGTATAGGATGGAAGAATCTGTAGAAGGGGTCTTGACCGTATTTTGCAATCATTCGTTCCACACTCAATGCCTCTCTCAGTGGAAAGACAGTTCTTGTCCGGTTTGTAGATTTTCCCAGACCGGCAACATTTCGACCTCACTTAACGATATCAACGACACCTCATCTTTTATCCGGCGTTCTACGCTGGAACTGAACGAAAACTCGGACGATGAAGTAAATGAACGAATCGAGGAAAATGAATGTCTAGAGGAAGGATGTGAATCGAGGGCGGATTTATGGATTTGTCTGATTTGCGGAAACGTGGGGTGCGGAAGGTAATTAAATATACATTTATTTCAATGGTTTGTGAAAGAAAACTATTTCTCGTGAAGAAAAACAGGGGTAAATAAATAACAAAATTTGATATTCTGCGTTTTAATTGTCATTTCTTTTATTATATTTTTTAATATTGTATTTTATGGTAATTAAGTCATTTTTTCTAGTTTTTTAAAAAAAATACAATTTTCTTTTACATTTAATTTGATGGCAATGAGAGATCCCTATATTGTAAAAAAATTTTAAAATAATACTTACGAAGGAATAAAATAAAGTTAATTTATTAATTTTGGCAAATGTAGGGTTAAACTTAAATTAAGGTCATTTGTTATTTTTATTTGGTATATACATCAAGGTACTTGGGAGGTCACGCTTCTAAGCATTTCGAGTTAACTCAACACACTTACTCGATGGAGCTCGAAACAGGTAGGGTATGGGATTACACTGGGGATAATTACGTTCACAGACTTATACAAAATAAAGCAGACGGTAAAATGGTCGAATATGTGCGGGAAGGTTCGACACTTTTGAATGGGTTTCTCAACGCCTCCAGGACTCGAACTAATGAAAGTGACGAAAAGGGCAGGAAAAATAAGTCAAGGAAGAAACACAAGCGCCTGCGCAAGTCTAAGAAATCGTGTCACGTGAATGATGACCAACATAAATATTCGGTCGAAACCGAAATCAATGCTTCCGATACAGTTGAAATTAAATCGTGCATGTGCGAGATCCTAGCCATAGAGGATGAAGATAAACCACAAGAAAAGGAAACAACGCCTAACGTAGTAGACGAAACACCGTTATGCCATATGTGCGGAAAATTTCGGTATCCTCCTACGCAAGTCCACGATGACGATGATCTAGGGTCCTCTTACACGGATGATAATAGTGATTATAGCGACTATTTCAATTACCCCGATTATAACGGAGACAACCCTTTAAGAATGGGCGTCGTTCAGGACGAGATGGAAAAATTGGACTCAGTTAGTCTCGAATATAGTTACCTCATGAGTCGACAGCTGGCTTCTCAGAGAGCTCATTTCAAGGACGAAATTGAGAAAATAGAGAGCGAATATTTATCCAAGATGGTGGTCCATCGGGACGAGCTTCACGCGGGCTCCTTGCAACTGGCCGATCTCACCAAAAAGTTGGCACTTTGCGAAAAGGAGAAAGAAAAATTGGAGAAAAAATATGGCGTACTCGGTGAAAAATTTGAGAAACTGCTCAAGAATTACTACGAGGAGAAGAGTATCAACAAATCTCTGGCCCAAAATCAGGAGCTTCTCAAAGGAGAATTATCGAGATTGGAAAATAAGATGAAGGAGTCGGTCGAAAGTAAAGATGGCGAAATACGTGAACTTCAAGAGCAAATGCGGGACATCATGTTTCACTTTAACGCTCAATCCCAAATCTCAGCTTCCGAACTTAACAGCGAAATTCAGGAAGGCACTCTAATCATTCCTAACGAACCACCCCGTGATAGCCTCAATAAAAACGCAAAAAATCGTCGAAATAAGCCGAAGAAATAAATAATATAAATTTGTTGCGGGAATTATATAGTATTTAAAATTTATTTATATATATATACTTTAGCAAATACATCTATTTTTTGGCCAATGTTCATTTAATCTTCCATATGCACATATATTTATCATAGTTTCGTATATTCCAAAAGTGTAAGTTTATTTATTAAAATATTTTGTAGCAAAATTTCGATTTATAATTACATATAAATTTTAGTCGATAAAACAAACTATCCTTGACGTGATCTCAGGTGTTATTATATCAAATTTATGACGAAGCAATATCATTGATTTTTTTTTTAAATTCTCGTGGTAAATCCAATGACATATAATAATACCTAGACTGACGATGCATTCATAATAATGCATTTGAAAGCGTCGTTGAATGCAAATCAGCTGGACCCGTCATTTTGGTAACCCATATAGTAATTATTTTCATGTTAAAAACTGCTATTAAATTGATAACTTGCTTCCTTATTATCTCGATGATCAGGCAATTCTTTAATTCAGACATAGGAATAAATTGGCCTCTCGTTTAAAATTTTTAATAATGATATGGGTATCCAAAATGGCCTCCCCAGCTGTTTTTCATTGATGTACACTTTTAATGAATGCACGTCAGTCTAGTTATTATTATTTGTCATCGGGTAAATCTTATAAAATAAAATTATCCGAGTTCGGGTGAGGGAAGCAGTATTCTTATATATGTTAGCGTCAATCCGTTTTTTCCGGCAATGAGTTATTTTTTCAACTTTAAATCATTTTTTGAAAGCGTTTTTTTAAATTTAAAAATCTGATTTTTACCAGAAATGTATTCCATCGTGTTTGGAATACTTAGCCTATGAATTTCACAATTTTTCCATGAACTTTTAAACTTATACGATTTATATTAGATTTTCCATATATTTTTTATATAAATTTTAAATGACTTAAAAGTTAACATGTCCACAATTCATAAGATAGGTATTCGAATGATAGAATATATTTCCGGTAAAATCCGATCTTTAACTTTAAAAAAAATTTATTTAAAATTGTAAAAATAACACATTGACGCTAACATATAAACTCTACGCACAAAATCTTTAAAAGACTAAACCCACGGGGCGAAGACAATGGTACTTTAAATTTTTTAGGCGAATGACACTCTTCGGTGTAGGGCGTCTAGATTGTTTTTTTTATATCTCTTTGAGTCTGGGATACTACTCATATTTGTTATACGTATAACATTTAATATGATTTTTGATTTATTATTTACTATGCTATAGTAATATAGTCAGGCACAAATGGGGAAGCGAGCGGGCAGCCAATGTTAGACTATCGGGGCTGCCAAAATTCGGTCCTCGTTCATCGATTTTGCTAATTTGGATTTTATTTCCCTTTCTTAAGGCCTAGGGAAATTATATTTCGATCTCTGGGTAAACCAGAAGTCTTAACACGACCCTGAATATAATATATTTTTAAAAATTCATTTTAAGATATATATAATATATATATATATAGCAAAGACTTGCATTATTACCATTTGCAAGGCCCGATTCGGATTTTTTTTAAAATATACGGCCCGACTCGGATATTTAAAAAAAACGGTCAAATCCGTGTATCCGGGCTTAGGGTTCGGCCTGCAGGTCTCTTATATACGTATCTAAATGTAATAGAAAAAAATAGGAATAACTTTTGAGAAAATATTATTTATATTTTGAATTGACCAATTGGGATTTTATAACGTTAAGGCAACATGATTAAATAATTAACCATTTTTATATAACTGTTTGATTTTTATATTATTATTTGTATTGTATATTAGTGATAAGATAACTGATAACTCTTTTAGTGTTAGATAATAAAAATAAATGAAAAATACATTTGCATATCGTTATTTTTTTTTATTACTTATTTTTGCTTTGGCAATAAAATTAAATTGGTCCCTCTTTGTTACTTGTTCCATTTTAATTATTAGAAAAATATTTAAATTTTTGTCGGTGTTTTCATAGAAATTTACTTTGGGAAATATCTTTAAAAAAATCCCCGAAAATAATTTTTCTCGTTTTACTTTATTTTTTTGGATATAAATTTTAGCCATAATTTCTTTTAAAAAATTTGTAAATTTGACCAGAATTTTTAACTAGAACCTGGAATCGCGCCAAATTTGAAAGCCAAACCTACTTTTTTAAAAAAATATTCAGAACGACAGCTGATTCTATGACTAAAAAGTCCTTCTACCCACCTCTTTACGTTGCTTTAAGACCTTTAAAAATTTTCATGAATGTCTAAACGCGTTTTTGCCAAATTAATTTCAAATTGGAATCACTGATCTCCTGGTTGAAAATGGATTAATATTATTTATTTATAAATTATATATAATTGTTTATGGTTAAAAAATATTGAAATTCAATATAAAAAAAATATATATATTTAATATGAAATTTTAAAAATCGATATGATTGCAAAATTTTATTATCGTATAACCATTTGTGATAAAAATAAAATTTAATAATGAAAAAAAATATGATTAAGCACTCTTATTAGCTTTAATGCAAAATATTAGAAATGTAAATATTTAAAAAAAAAAAAAAATTCATTACTACATATGTCAGACAAATCATATAATACTTTTAATTTGATACAGTCAGCTTAGAACATTGAAAACAGAAATTTTAAACTTTCAAATCGAAAAACATTGATCCAAACTATAAGATTTCTCTGGCACCCAAGCTAAAAGCGAGAAAACGTTGTTAAGAAATATATTAATCGTTCTAAATATGTTGAAAAACAATTAACTGCTTGGCTGAAAAATTATCCTTGCTTAGAGTATCAGACAGAATTACAGAAAATATTCTCAATACTAGCTGATGCTGACCGATAAAGAAAACGATAAATGTATTCAAAATTTTAGTTTTTATAGATCTTAGTTTTAAAAATATATAATATAACTACAGAAAATTACCAAGGGAATATAAAAAAGAGAAAATTTGAAAATGCATAATTAAATATCTATAATATTTTTTTTAAATATTTTTAAACTTTTTACATTGGATAGTAATATATGTATATCAGAAACCAGCAATCCCAGCCAAAATGGAATGATTTTTAAAATCTGGACTGGGCATAAAGATTAAAATCCTGGCTAGACCAATTTTTTAAAAATTAATTTATATCATATCCAGTAATTCCGGTATCTGAACAGTTAAACCGTTATTATTTATAGAAACCATTAAAAAATAATTGGTCAACCGATAAATATTATTATTAATCAATTTTAATTGATAGATATATCAGTAGCCATTTTTAGTCATTTCTATATTAAGTGATAGCTGTCCAAGTTGGCTTATAGACATACCTCTCTTTGTCTAAACCGAACTGATATTCATTACTCTTCGAATTCCTGAATTAATCATTTGGTAGATCATATGTGGGTGCGTTTAATATTTATTATTTCTCATATAAAATTCGAGCTCCATCTCCCCTACCAGGAATGGGTAATTACATCAGGAACCTTTCCGAATAAGGATCCTAAAACTGCCTCATGCCACCGAACATCTTATCATTTTGAAGTTTCTTTTTGAATCAATCACTGGGGTATACATGCAATCTTCCAAACCTTCATCCTTTTATAAGGTTCATTAAAAATGTGAGAAGTCTGCTAAATAACCCAATCTGTCACAGGTACATAAATTAAGATTGGAATTATAATACCAAAATATTATCTGGCACCTTTTGCTTAAATTGAGATTGTAGGACAACAAATCCGCATATTCACTGCACTATCAAATGGTTCTCTTATAAATAAATGGCAAGGTTGGTGACATTAATTACTCTTAGAGAAAATAAGTATAAAGGTTACCTTATCATGCGAAAAGGGGATAATTGTTAATAGCCATACTTTACATATTTAATATTGCAAATATGCCCATCTTAGCTCAATTAAATTGGCTATGATTTTAGACGATTAAGAAATCGATTGTACTTGTCGAAGTCGGAATTATTAAAGTTATTATCAAATTTGTGTTATATAACATTAAGTCGCAAATTTTGCGAGAAAATTTACAGTTATTTTTATTGAGTTAAGATGGGTAGAGAAAATGGCAAAAATTGTATTACATATTATTAAACTCAGGAAAAAAATATTACATGTATCATATTATTTGATTTGTTTTGGGATAAAATAGGGGGTACAAATGATATATACTACCTCAATAAACTATTATTTATTTTTAGAGGAAATGCTTTTACGTGAATTTTTCAATCTGTATTCTTTTTTAAAAATAGCAATGAGCTGTCATCACCAATATTTAATTCTTTTTTTTATTCTAATATTTGTGACTGCTAATATTTTATTAATTTCTCTGTAAAAGATAAATTCATATTTTATTGTCTAAAATAACAATAATCAGATTGCAGATTCCATTTTAAAAACTATTTAAAAAAAAAAAGACTAAAGTTAATAAAGTAAAACAAAATTATTAATACAAATAATTGCTTAACTGTTTTGAAGAACTTCGTTACATTTTTAAAATGATAAGAATTACAGGATCATTCATAAATGTAACGTAATGTTTATTATCACCTTTAGCCCATCCATGTCAAAAAAAAAATAATACCATATTTCATCATTCGGGGGCTTATTTATATTCCGAGTGCACTGTTTACCTGTATATATTGAATCCCTTTTTGCTCAATTTTTCTATATATAATTCGTTTTCTAAGAATGTACGATAGCAGTTACATTGCGAATGCTTGTTTTTCCTAGTGTTGTTAAATGGTTCGTTTTGGGCTGATTTTTAAATCGGCTAACTCAATATTCACCCAGAAAAATATTACGCCAGCCTAAAGATTTTGCTCCTAGAAGGAGCAAAGGTCTAGACATATATTATAAAATCTTCTGGCACTATTTTTCTGGCTAAAATATCGAGTTAGCCGTTTTAAAAAATCGGCTCAAAATGAGCCGTTTAACAACACTAGTTTTTACCAATAAGTTATTCGGAGCCGTCTCTGGCTTTGTCTAATGAGGTGGCACATTTTTTTAAGATTTTCAACATTATATCTAATTACAAAAAAGCTTTAAAAAAATTAATTTTTTCAGGTGGCTTTTCAAATTTTTAAGTGGCTTTAGCCTATACGCAGTGGAGGTCACGATCCGATCTTTCTTCAAACAGGACCGAAGCATTTAAACCGGACCACGGTCTTTAAAAAAGGCCGATTCAGTGGTCCAGGAATGGTTTTTTTATTTTAAAAATATCTTCCTTTTTACCTAATTTAGTTTTATTGGGATTATCAGTAAAATGCTTCTTTGACAAACTTATGGTTATCATATTTCAAAATAAAAATGAACTAAAAATTCACAAAAACTAGATTAACTCTTTTAGAAAAATAACAAAATTAAATATATTAAAAAAAATTGTATTAATTGCAAAATTAAATATTAGTAAAAACCGGTCCCGACTGTCGTCCTTAAAAAGATCGGTCTGGTTTGCTCCGGATTAAGACCGATAGGACCGTTGACCTTCACCCTATGCGCACTCTTTAGCGTTACCACCATGAGTAATCTCTTCCTTTGGAATGTAACTTTACTGAGAATGGATGTTTTTCCTTCTTAAGTTTTTTTTTATTTTGGCAGCCGCCTTTTAAGAAATAAGCATCAATTTTGAAAAATGACTTAGCACCAGATTTTTTCAAAAATCAGAACCCCTTTAATTTTAATTAAACTTATTATTCCATTTTCTAAAACTTTCTTTGCGATAATTTTTTTTTGTAATGGTTTCCTACTTTTTTTCTCCAGCATGGTAAAACATATTAAAAACTAGATGGCAAAAAAAATCAAATAGTAACTAATTAGCCTTAAACCATCAAATGTATAGGTCGACACCTCATACTTTATTCTTATCTATTAGGTTAATTTCTCTCAAAATTGGTCAAATATATATATGGCATGTATCTTATCTAAGTCCATTTATTAAATTAATCATCCCATTAAAAGAAATTTTCTCTTTCTAAAATAAAATACGTCATTCTAATTATTTATACTTTACATAACTTTTAACATTATTCACGCAAAAATAATTGAAATAATCAAGTCCTATTTAGTTTTCATATAAAAGCATTCTATAATAAATACCAAAGACCGACAGGCCCGGCTCGGCCCAAAGATCTGCCCGGTAAAAAAATTTATAAATAAGCCCAAGCATGGTCCTAGGAAATTATTATTTTTAAATACCCAGACCTGGCCAAAAAAAAATTTTTCTATAAACCCGGGCCGAATATAAATTGAAATCATTATATATATAATTAGTATATATGTATTTGTAGTACACAACACATGCTCTATATAGTGTTGTTAAACGGCTCAATTTTTAAAAACGGCTAACCCGATATTTTAGTCAAAAATATTATACAAGTCATAGGTAGTAGAATGACTTGATCATCTTTTAAACAAATCTCGAAGCTTGCTTAATTTTTTAGCTTAAATATTGAATTAGCCGTTTTTAAAAATCAAGCTGTTTAACAACATTAGCTCTATATATGTAGTATTTCATATTTATATGTCTTTATTAAGGTAATTTTTTAGGAATAAAACATGTCCCAAGTTTAAAAAAAAAAGCAAATGTTCTAAAAATTACAAATGTTCCGATTTTCAGTTTCATATGCAAAATAAATTCACATTAATTTTAATTTATAAATTTTGCTTATCCATCTTCCTTAACTTTTATCACCAACACGTAAAGCATTGAAACATGTTTTCCTTCGATATAAAAAGTAAGTTCACATTAACGTGCTGGTAAGATTGAGGTAGATTTAATTTTGTTAAACGGTTCGTTTTGAACCGATTTTTTAGCCAGAAAAATATTGCCTAAGCCTCAAAATTTCGCTAATAGATGTCTAAACTATGGTTCCTTCTGCAAAAAAATCTTCAAGCTTGCGTAATATTAAGAGCCGTTTAACAACACTAGGCAGATTGGTACACTTTTTGTTCACGAATAATATTATTAACCCGATCTGAATAAATAAAGTAAATTATGATAATAATATATTATTAAATGATATAGACCAACGTACATCATTATCTGATAAGTTGGTTCAACATATGTTGTTAGTCTGTCTAACATATGTTGTTAGTTGGTCCACCAAAAAAAATGAGCATTATAAAATCTTTTTTAAAAAATATTGTTATATTAAGAGACTGAATTTAAAGTAAATATTTATTTATATATTATTATTAATAGCAATAACTAATTTAATTTAATTTTTAAGAAACTTTGTATAAAAAAAAATTTAATTTAAAAATCATTTATTAAGTATAAATGCTATAATAAAAATTAATAATTTAGATTCATAAATATTTATTTACAAATAAAATTTTTTACAGTTAATTCAATTAGCTCAAAAACTAATATAGTTTTGCTTTTGATTCAAATGTTATTTTTTAGATTAATTAAAAATTGGCGTACACAATCGACATTAAATCTGTTCTATCAAATCCATCGTTAACACTTTTTTTAACCAAAAATTAAATCGTGGCCAGTCATTCCACTTTTCCAATACCTTCAATAAGGAAAGTGATGCTTCCCTCAAGGACATGTTACCAAATCTAACCGCTCATCATGCTCTTTTCTAATAAAGAATTCTTGACATCCCAAAATAATACCTAGGTTTTTTTTCAGCCTTTTCTGATACCGATCTATTCGTTAATAGCAAAGCACAGATTGAAGAAACTCTCAACTAAATTTATACCCCTCTCCTGGCTACAAGTTTCTCCCCTAAAACTCAGACTCAGTGATTTTAATAAATTAGCACCATTCCTACGCCCATCCTAGACGCATTATGAGGATTGAGGATTTTTGATTGGTTGAACGTTCCATCAAATACTCCCTTTCGAACATACAACCTAAGAATATCCCCAATTTTAAATTCGCAAACATAGATATTCGATGCGAATAGTTGGAAACAATTCCGAACCAAATTCACGGTCTTCACCTTTCTGCAAATTAATTTAGAATATTCATTAGGTCCCGTACGGGTTATAACGTAACAGTCTTCTCCTATACATTCTCCCTCTATTACATTCAGATTGAAAACCCATGCTGCTTAGAACTCTGAAGTCTCAGCACAAGACTGTAATCAAATCGATTGAAACGTATCCCCTGGTATATGGGTTTGCCTCTTGCATATAGTTTCTTAAAGTTACAGGAAGGAAAATATCTACACTCTCCGATGACCTCAATGAGTTTTTTTTATCTCCGCTTGGCTTTGAGAATCGCTGCACAAATTCCTTATCAACTCACGGTTCCATATGGTTTTAGAAGAAGGAAAAAAAATTTAATATTGTGCTATTTGTTATTTTTAAAATATTGTAAAATTTTTTCCTGAATGCTCTCATTCGGACTTTTTCCAAGACTTACAAGCCAAATCAGGTCCACATTGCTAGAATGTAACGAATAGCTGCGATACATTTTACGAAAAATACAAGCAACGATACAAATAATGTTCGTATTTCCTTTTCCTTATTATTCGCATACCTTTTCTTATTTTTAAGAAAAGATACCAAATTTATACATAAATAATTTTTTATTCATATTACATATTATAAAATGTATTGATTTAAAAAATGGATAAATATAAAAATTAATATGAAACATTTTTTTTTATTAAAAAAAAAATTATTTTTTAAAACTAAGTAAAGATTCCCTTCTCTTTATTTTAAAGTTCAGTTATAAAAAAAAAAAATCCAATTAAGATATTTTCTTATTATTTATCCCTAATATTTTCTAAATATTGGTCATAAAAATATTCCAAAGAAAAAATCAAATATATTATCTAACAAATTATCAAATTTTCTTTTAATTATATTTAAAAATAATAGCAATAAAAAATGTAGATTAGTAAAAATAAAAAAATAAATTACCAGTATAATGATTATATGAATTTTTTTTATTATGATAGTTTCTAATGTTTATCAGATGTACACCGATTTTTATTACATTAAATTTAAGTGCGAAATTTTATTCGATTCTATATAATAAATAGTAATACCTTTCTTGGGGAAATTGATGGAAATGTTTTTCTCTATACCATTCTCCTTCTATTTCATATCTTTAGGTAAAAAAAAATATGATGCTTATATTTATATTCAGAATTTTATATCGAGATTCACACTTTTAATTTATAGAAATTGAATCAATCAAACAAAATATACGGTCTTCATTCAATTCAAAAAAAAATATGGATTTATTTTAATATTTCCGAGAAAATTTGGAGGAAATGAAAATTTTTTTAGCTTCTTTTTCTCTAGAAAGAAGATTTAACGATTTCCCCAAGTTGGGGTTGGGTTCCTAGGGAATCCTTGATCAAAATTTAACCTAACATGAATGAAAATTTTGAAATCTATGTTCGAACGGGCATGCATAGTTCAGAGAATGTCAGCCTAGATCGGAGTTTAACTCTATGATAGGCATCTATTATATCTGTATACTATTTAATAAAAACAATAGGAATTTTAAGGATCTGTCAGGAATTTTTTGCCTAGAATTTAAATAATTTAGAAGAATCTATTGTGTTTTCCCATCTAGAAGTTCTTGCGATAATATAATCTTAAACTAGAAACTCTAATAAAAACATATCAAGGTTTAAAATTTCCACTTATTCGTTGATTATATATGGCTTAGGGAAAGGAAATACCGTGTAAGAATGTCACTTTTCAATCTGATACAAAAAATAAAATTATAATTTTGATAATTGATGAGTGGGAAGGGGGATATCTTAATTATATTATAAATCTTTCTTTAAAGTATTAAAATATAAAAATATTTTTTTTATCAAATCCATAGCTTAAAACATTTTTTAAAAGTCAATGAAAAAAAAGGAAGTTTTAATCATTTTTATTTAATGTTTCGAAAAATATTTTGAATTTGATCCTGACTAAGCTAATCCTTATCGAGAATTAAAATATCTTTACATTTGATAATGAAAAATTGACCAAGCTTGTATTTAAATAAATAATTTGGGGTTAATTATCGACTCAAAACAATACGAGATGGAAAGTTAAATAAATAATAATTTTAAAAATTCAAATTTCTTTGTTTAAAAAAAAAATCTAATCTAGATCCACAACCTTAAAAATTTAGATAAATATTGATAAAAGGTAATTTTTGAATTTAGACATGGACCTATCCATGATTTTCCTACACTAAGGTGGGAGGGGTTTATATAAACTTGTAACTTTAAAATGGTTCGGTTATTGCAATGAAGCATGTATTTCTTTAAAATTTTTAATTGCATCGCTTAGCAATTTTCTTATGTTTATATACAAATTTATTAAGATTATTTTGTAGGATAAATCCTAGTTTTTCTATCATAATATTTGCATCCCGTTTACCCAGGAATATGAAATGGAACGCTTTCGGATACTTTTCGAGAGATTCCGAGAACTTTCCGAAACGCGAAAAATAATAATAATTTATAATTGATGGCTCATAAATATTCGCTTTTTCTTTATTTAATACCAGTTTTTTTCACATCACAAAACAATTTATTACCATTTTTAGAGTGTATATGATTAAGATTATTTAAAATTAAAATTCATTCTAGATAATTTGGTTATCAAAATAGTTAAATAAACTAAAGAGTGAGTAATATATATGAAGTAATTTAATCTTCCTCCAGGAACAGATAAGAACGTAACATTTTTTTAGACGGAGAAACTGGAAAATGCATTTATTCCGCGTCCAGTATAAAGTAAAGATTGACATATTTAATCATTTTAAAGTTGACTCACATTTGCCTAATTTGATTTTAGCTCCATTTGACATTTCCTGAATTATCTCTATCATATTATATAACTATGTTATATATTTTTTTAAAAAAGACGGATAAAGTTATTTTAATCATCATAAGAAGAATATTGAAATTAGTTGTTTTGATAAATATAATAAATTATTATGCAAGGGATAATATGTTAAATTAGAAACTAATATAGTTATTTAACAATAATATCAAACATTTTGTCTAATATATTATACGATTAATCTTAATAAATCATTCATAAACCTTTATACAAATAATAATTAGATGGAAAAATAAAATTAAACATTAATGAATTATTTATTAAATAATAAAAATATCATGATACTAACGCAAAGTGCCTCTTTATAGGGTTTCCAGCGTTTTGTAACTGATGTGCATTAATCTAAGAATAATTGTCATTCTTATTACCCGATCAGCTGAAATTTTTATATTTCAAAATACTAACTTTTATCACCATATATCATGGATATAGTGGTATTTTCTATGAATATCCCAACTTTTGGTATATGCCATTAAACTAGTTATATGCAAAGTATATACTGACTATACCTGTTGGGTTAGAAATCTTCTTTTGATTAGACTAAGCTAAATTGGCGATCTTTAAAATTTATAATAGTATATTCTAGTTTGGAAAACAGAACCCATTTTAAAATTTTAGGAACCCGTTCCCAAAAAAAAGCTTACAAGTAATTATTTAATATACATTTTAGAAGGTTTATATTATTTTTTTTAATTGCTTCTATGAAATGTGCTTATAATAAGCTAATTTTAAGCAAATTAACATCCAATTTTCATAAGCACTTTTTTTTTAACAGATAAACCTCTTATTTTTAAATTGTGAATACTTAATTTTTTCATCTCATTATCACAAAATCTATGTTAACTTATGTACTTCTTTTTGTTTTAATGCCTTACTTAGTGGCATAACTTTTATCTTTCATTTATTTTAATTTATACTCATACTTTTTTTCTATAAAATTTTTAAAAGCACTTTTCTAATGTTTTAACGCTCATTTTCGAACCATCTATAGCTGTCATGTTTATAATCAATAATTCGTTATATTATTTATTTTTTTATAGTTATTAGTAATGACATGTTTCATATTATATTTAGGGGGAGGGGGTTATATGGCATATGATTTATTCTTTTGCGATTAATTTTCTTAGTAAAATTTATGGGCTGAAACTAATTGTTGATATCTTACCTGCAACCTTAAAAAACGAAATTCTAATGTGGGGGTTGGATTTAATTTTAAATCCTACATTTTTTTTACCACAGTGGTAATACACCAGCGTAAACATTCTTATAAATTTCTAATCTTTATAAATTAAAATTTGGTCAATTTTTTTTTTAAATGTAAATATAATTCTTTAAATAAATTATTACCAGAGATATAATCGTAAAAAGAGGCATGCGGGGGGCACTGCGAGTCCTATCAGAAATTTTTAAAAAATTAGGGGTCACAGCAGGCCTCCTCTTAGTATTGTAAAAAGACTCATTTTGAGCCAATTTTTAAAAATGGCGAACTCAATATTTTCGCGAATAATGTTGCAAAAGCCTTTCCAAATTTTTTATGTAAATAATATTTTTTCTGCAATATATTTCAATTTTTATATAATTAATTAGCTATTTTATATAATATGAATAGAATGCATTTTAAATGAAATGCTTCGATATAAACTATTAAAAAAATTAATAAAAATTTTTAATCTGCCTCAGATTCTTAGAAAAACAAAAATTCACTTGGCTCATTTTAACGTGCACCCTATTTTTTTTTAGAATAATAGACTGCCCCTACCCGAAAATTTTAGAACTACCACACTGAATATGATAGGTAATGTGATTTACAAGGCATATATCTATTAAATTAATATACATTTTATAATTTCGTTAATAACTTGATAGTATTTCCATATAATCAGGTTATTATTAGAGAAAAAAAAATTAAAAAGTTATGTTAATATATTTTTTTAGGGGAATTATTCTATAATTTTTAAAAACTAATTATTCTACCGTTGTTAAAAGCCCGATTCTAGTCTATTTTTAAAAACGGCCCGATTATCTCATTCATATTTAGCGCAAATTAGCGGCGAGGAATATAAAAATAGAGTATATTTTGGATACTTCGCAACGTATTCGCGTTAAACTGTGGATGAGGGGTAAGATTATAACTAAAATAATATTGTATAAGCCCGGAGATTTCGCTCTTAGATGGCGGAACGCTTTGTACATCTATTTGCCAAGTCTCGAGTCTTGCATAATATTATTTTGGCTAAAACTTTAATCGAGCCCTTATTAAAAATCCACCCAAATCGGCCTTTATTAACAATGATAAATTATTCGAATACAAACATACATAGTAAATTTTTTGATTTTTACGAATACGAACTGTAAATTATTAACTTTTGTTAATATACTAATAATTCTTATTCTCTTTTGAATGAACCTATTTAGCCGTGACTAAATAGAGTTTAAATGTATATAAAATATAATGTTAGTTTGAATGGGGTTTTGATTTAATTTTAATAAAAAAATTAAACGAATTCCATTTGATTACTTTAAAAAACTAAGTAGGAAGAAGTAAGAAATAATCTTTATATTAGGTGTATATTATTTTATTTTATGGGTTTCATGGAAACCAGTATGTTTATTATGTAATAAAATTAGTTTTAGTGTTTTTAAACGGCTCGTTTTGAGCCGATTTTTAAAAACGGCTAGATCAACATTATAGCCAGGAAAATATTGCCTAAGTCTCAAAATTTTGATAATATATGTCTAGACCTTTGTTCCTTCTATGAGAAAAATCTTCAGGTTTGGGTAATATTTTTCTGGATGAAGTAATGAGTTAGTCGTCTTTAAAAATCTACTCAAAACGAGCCGTTTAACAATACTAAATAAAATAAATAAGTTAATATTATAACATATATCTCTCAAATATTTTTGTATAATATTAATATAAAATCTTGAATATAAGAGAAAATTTTTTTTTTATAAAACACTTTTGCATCCAGGAAAAAAATGTTTGGTACAAAACGTTATAAAAGATGAAATAAAGGTTATATTTTTTTTATCACATGTTATTTCAATTAATATTTTTAGAAAAAAAGAATGACATTAATTGGAAAAAATATATATTACAGTTTCATGTCACCATATAATAATTACAATACACGATGAATAGTGTCCTAGTTGCAAGTAATCAATCAACTTCAACTGTTAGAATCTTGCCATTTTAAAAACGTTATCAAAAAAATCATTTAATAAAAAATTGTAATATTAGATATGAATCCAAAAA